ATATATATATGTATGTATGTATATACTTCCCTCTAAACCAATCACATGTTAGTTAATTCATATATATACATATATAACAAAAAATATATATATATGTACACTTCCTTCCATAACTAATATATTAATTAATTATAATTACGTTAATTAAATATAACTAGTTATCGTAGTAGCATCCTTTAACCCTCAAACACCTAAAACACATCCCCTAGTAATTAATTTCAACATTCATAAACTTGAAATCAGCTCTGGGACATTACCGGACTCTACAGTAACTTTCTGGAATCCCAAACACCTCCCTACGCGGCCCCACACTCTCCTAAACACCCTGCACGCGCCTCCACAGCCTTTTCCACGGTCGCACGCGCTCCCACGCGCCGTTACACGAGGTGGGGGGTTTGGCACACGCGCTTGGACGCGCTACCACGCGCATGTACGCGCTGCCACGTGCGCTGGTTGGTCCTCTTGGTGACGCGGCGCGCTCCCATTAGCCGGTTGCATCGCGTTCCTATAGGTGCGCTGCACTGAATCAATCCGCCATCTTCAATGGTCCAGATCCGTGCGCTCCATAACATGTGTACACCGCGCCGCAGTTGATCAGTTCTAATATCATCACCATGCATCAGCGGCCCAGATCTGCAAGCACACCATAAAATCTTGTTCCGCACCGCATCAGAACCTTTGACTAAATATAAATTAATCTCAACCCTTCATGCTCCGTGTGCACTGTAATAGCATACATTGTGTCGCACCAGATCCCCATCCCATTTTGATGCGACGTAAACAGAACCACAGTGTGTATATATATATAACCAGTATTTATATATATATATGTCTATAATTTTCCAAGCAAATAATTGAAAAATAAATTCTAATAAATTCCTAAAAATATAGAAAAAAATACCAGAAAAATTCAGAAAATTTACAGAACAATTCCAGAAAATAAAGAAACCCTAATTACCCCTCTTGGGTCACAGATCCACCTATAAATTGATTTTAAAATATATATACAACATCTATATATACAATTAAAATCCAATACTCCAAAATTAAAAATATAATAATTCATACTTTTAAATAATCCGTTCTAACCATTATTTAATGAATAAATTTAACCTAAAATTTTGATATTCAAGGTAAAATATTTATGAGTTCTAAGAGGAGAGTTAGAGAAAAACTCGCCTGAAGGTTTCAAAACGAAACCGAAGCTTCAAGCCTTGATTGCCTCTTCCAAATCCGATGTCCTCTTTCTCTAATCCGGCCTCCTCTTTGTCGGCCTTCTCCTTTTCTCTCTCTCTTATTTTTTTAACGTGTAAACTTTTAACTCTAAAGTCTTATGCGTATATTTATACACATTAGAATCCAAATCCTATTCATACTAGGACTTTCAAATAAAATAATAATTCTTAAATAATATATATCTATAAACACATATTATATTACAAATAGATATATATACCTTCCATAATTAATCTATGGGTTAATTAAATCATATAGACCTATATATATATCCATAAATATATATCTCTATATATATCTTTCCATAACAATTATTAATTAATTATATTTATATATAATTATATATATTTATAATTAATACAAAAATGATAATTTAAATAATTAAATAATCATGGGCCTTTATTAATTAACCCAATAAGGCTTCATACAAGCCCAATACCACATCTTTTGGTCCAACTTCCCTTAATCCCAAATCCAATTAATTTAAATAAATTAAATAATTAAATAGACACTTAAATAATAAAAACTAAAAACTAATTACACTAAGCACATAAACAAAATAATAAATTACAACCAAATTACACCATACCAATAAAATTAACAACCCAACAATTCAATCAATAATTAAGCACACACACAACAATCATCATATCAATAATTCACGAAATATAAATAAAATAAAACAATTAATCTAAGCACTCAATAAAACAAATCAATTAAAAATTAAAATAAACGCAATTAATTCAAATTAAATCAAATATATCATTTAAAAATAAAATAAAAGTAATTAATTTCAATTAATAAATGCTTTAAAATATCGGGGTATTACATTTCATCGTCTTATAAATATAAATATTTTTGGTATAAGTATATATTGTTGAGAGAGAGAGCTGTAACAATCTATAAAATACAGAATATATTTTTTCATAAATTTCAAAATTAGTAAAGATGATGAAGAAATGAGAATAAGCACTATGCCGCAATTGATTAACTTATGAACACAAACAAACGTCGCCAACTCGCCATCTTGATTGATTTTTGTAGGCCATACAATTACATTAGCGCATAACACCATAATTAATTAACTTATCATCGCCATAATGAAGATTTAAATTACAAATATATTTGTTTGTCACACAGAAGTGTGAGATAACATGTGGCATTTATCAACTATACATCACAACTTAAATAAGGTTATCGCTTATTAATTATTTAAAAGAGGTATTATTTCAGCTGCAAGACGTTATATTCTCTCTCCATTTAAACCATTTAACTAAATTATTATAATGTGAAAGTAGAGGGTTTAAGTCTTCAAGGAGTGATTTGTGTAACCTAGCTAGTTTGTAATAGCAGTTTCGATGATATTATTAATTATGTATTTAAAATAATTCAGACATCAAATTAATTAAAAAATACCTTATTAAATCTATATTTCAAAGATAATTATTATTATTATTTTTTATCAAATTAGTTGTAAAATACTTTATCCGCTTATATGACATAATTTTTAACATTTGTTAAAAATTCAATGTTCCACTTTCACCCAGGTTTTCACCAAGGGTGTTCTTTCCTATAAATTAATCTATGGTGTCACAATATATATATGACACGCAATCAAAAATAATGTCTATTTAATTATATATATATATATATATATATATATAGTCTTGGCCAATCAATGGTGAAAATATGGGTTATTTATTTATTTAAGGTCAAGTGCATAAAACATCCCTATAATATGCTTATAGTACATGTCACACTTCTTATGTGTAAAAAATACCTCTAAAGTTTCAATTTGGTGTTATAACTCGACTAAATTATTCTTATATACACATTTTACATATTATTTAGAAATGCGTTATTTTATAAAATGACACAAAGATGGTTATTTAGTACATGTGGGGTGTGATACGCAATGTAAGCATATTATAGGGGCGTGATACACACTATTGTTGTTTTGAATATTATAACGATTAGATTTAATTGAGAACGTAGTTTTATCGCGATTTAAATAATATGATGACGGCAAGTGATTGAACATCCATTTATTATTATTATTTTTCAATAAAGATTGACTGCCAATTTGTTACTATATATATATATATATATATATATACACACACACACACACACACACGTTAAAATTTATTTAAAATTCAAAAGTTAAAAAAATTAAATGTATATTTTTATATATAAGGAATAAGTATCTTTAATTGAATTTTTTAATTATATTTTTAATAAAAAATTGATAACTATATTAAAATTTAATTGAGAATAATTTTTTATTTTTTATAATTATAAAAGGATCTGAAGTTTTCATTCCATATGCTATTGTACATTAATATGACAACCGTGACAACAATTTTTATTTTTTTTTTAAAAGAGAGATAATACATTAGCGAAAATATATAGAGATTTGTTTTTTCGAAAATGTGAGAGAGAATTCTTAAAAATGGGTTAAATATAGTTAATATGCACATAACACTCATATACCATGAGATTATTAGCATACACATCCCTTGAGCATTTTTGGAAGAGTAAAATGACAAAACGAGTATTATAAATATTACTTTATGTCATATTTATGATTAAGTGCTATTTTCATACAATTTTAAAAAATATATAAATATTTTTAGCACACTTTTTTAAATTAAAAAAATACTTCATAAAATATATATTAAGAATATTTTCTACACTTGATTGTATTTATTTATTCCAAAGATAATAATACTCCCTACTTTGTATGTCCATTGGTGGGACACGTCACACATCAATACTTTGTGTTAACCGGATGTCACGGCTCTTTCTTTAATGTGTGCGTGTGTTGAGCATAATCCAATATATATATATATATATTCCTTTCTTTCTTTTTTTTCCACTAATAAAACTCAACTTACATATATTATATTCTTAAAAAGAATAACTTACATGTATTCTAAAAACAGAGCGTTACAAAAGGTGTTTGATCATAAGATATCATGCAATCTACGACTATACGTACTGACAACGGGAAAAAAAGTTAGGTCATTGATTGGCTTAGACCACCAGGCATGGGTGTTGGATATCCTACGTAGCCCACATTAATTTGACCACTCTCCGATTCTAGTAATCAAAACCTATCAATTTTGTACCCTAAACAATGACAAATTCATACTCCTGTACCCATCAATAAAGATTGTAGGCGGGTGGAATTCCACCTGTACACCATCTTATTATTGCAACATCTAATGTCATAGATTTATTCCACCTGTACACCATCTTATTATTGCAACATCTAATGTCATAGATTTTCATTCATTTGAGCTGAAATTGCTCCACCTTTAGTGCTTTTAACCTACGTCATATGAAATTAGAATAGGAGTGAGAGCGAATTCGAGAACGAGAATATAAGAACAAGAATGAGAGCGAATTCGAAAACAAGAATATGAGAGTGACATAATTAAATCATAAATAATGAAAATTTGAGTGAGAAAACACGCAGATCGTAAGAGCGAGAGAATAATTGTGTGACTTAGGTTTTAATTAATTTATCAAATCGATGTGTTCTTTTAACGTAGTAGTGGATAAATCTAAGTGTATTTCACTCACTCAAAAAAAAAAAAAAAAATCCTTCTTGGTAAACACTTGGACTTGAAAAATAAGTTATAAATAGTGAGAATTTAAGCGAGAGAGTGCGCAGATCGTAAGAGCGAGAGCGCGCTCGAAGCATAAGAACGACACCTGTTAAGAAGGACTGTGTGACTTAAGTTCTAACTAATTTATCAAATCGATGTGTTCTTTTAATGTAGTAGTGGATAGATCCAAGTGTGATTTCCGTTCACTACATCAAAAAAAGAAAAAAAGAAAAAAAAAAGCCTTCTTGGTAAACACTTGGACTTGAAAAATAAGTCTAACTGGCATTTTTCTTTGTTTTATTTACTAATATATGGTCTAAAATATCGCCTCACTTTCACAACTAGTAGAATGAAAATTTGGTTCTCTCTCTCTCTCTCTCTCTCTCTCTCTCGTGTATATATATAATGTGTTTGTGTGTATATTATTTTAATTTTTTGAACTTCAAATGAGAGTGTGGACTGTGGAGTTCAAGTACTTGAGCCCAAGTGTTGGTTGAGATAGAGTGCTTCAACGGGGTAGAAGTTGGCGGGAAGAGCTTGCAGTTTCTCTTCTCTAAGGTTGGCTTCCGTCACTTGATAAATAAATAAACATATATATATATATATATATATGTTGCTAAATTTACATTGTTCGTTCAATGCATGTCTTATGTACATTTTAAAGTTTCTTATGGGTTGAAACCAACATGTCCACGTTGAGTACTACTGGAACTCAACCCTACTATACTCAAATTAATGCTCCATAATCCATACATTATACATTATAATAACTTTATAAAATGTAAATAATTTGCTCTTCGTTACGTACTATATGGATTTGTTTTATATATACAGTCAATGTACCTATATATATATATATGGGGTACGGTAACACTACCCATAGGATAGATCATTGCTTTGTACGTTGTAAAATGTATTTATAATTTGCACACCATTTAATAGTTTCTAAGTTCCACAATTTTTTTTTTGTTTTTTGGCCCCTTTGATGTTTTTTTTTTTTTTAATTATTAATTCGGAATATTTGGGAAGGCATGAACCCAAAAATCCCTCAACAACTTCAAAAAGGACCTAAGGGAGTCTTTCCACTTGAGCCAAATAAGTTACTGTAGAGACAATAAAGACTAACTACAAAAACACGCAACAGAAACAAAACCTAGACCTTAAGATTGCAAAGTACCAAAGTATAGCAAACCAATCATGGAACCATGCCCGAAGTGAATGTACCCTTTTAATGTTCTTACATCATTTTAGGTAACTTTTAAGAAAAGGAGAATGACAAGCTTTGAAAACAAAGGTATGTCATATGTAAGATTGGGCGAAAACAAAAAAAAGTAAGTTTTTTGGAATTTAAAAAAAAAAAAATGAAAAAAAAAGTTGAATCGATGTTAGTGGGCTCTCAGACACTGACTGACTACTCATGTATATGCATATGGTGTATATGCATACGGTGAGTTCCATTATTACTGTGGCGAGACCCACTAGATTTGTCATATGTGGAATAAGTCATCTGTGCCCGTATCAAGTGCCTATATCATAGGCTATAACTTTTATGATTCATAGCTTATAGTAACTTTCTAGACTTCTCTAAATGAATTATTTGGTGTACGTTAATTATCATTTTCAATAGTTATTAAATTTAATTTATACGAATGAAGTGACTGACTTTGCTATAAAATGATATCATGTGACGAGACTCACTATTTTTATTACATAAATTAAATTTTATACTTGTCGAATTTAATTCCTAAATAATTATTCTAATTATATTGATCACAGTTAGTTAAGGTCCAAAGGATATCGAATTTATAGCATAATTTCATCTCATTTTAATTTCTCCAACTTGAATTGATGCATCCATTCTAAATTTATTCATTTCATCTCATTTTAATTTCTCCAACTTGAATTGATACATCCATTCTAAATTTATTCATTTTTTTTCTTCTATTTTTGCGTGACAATAATGCCAAAGAAGACATTGACCATTAAATTAATTTTGTTTCCATTAAGACAATAACCATTAAATTTATTTTAAGCATATATCTTTCATTTTTTTAGTAATTAAAGTTTAGAATTATATAGAATAAGTAAAGTATGAAAGAGTACAAAAGAAAAAAATACAAGAGGAGCTTCATCTTACCTACTTTAGATAGCATATAATAGCGAGTGAAGTGTGAAAGCTCATTGAAAGAGAATGAAAGGAAAAAAAATAATAATAATAAAATTAGGTAAGGTATGAAAGGAAAATAAATAATAAATAAGAGAACACAAGGGAAGAAAATTTAAATTTGTTTTCCTGTGGTTGGTAAGGAAAAATTAGGGTGTCTGATATTTCAATTGAAATGTTAGGCGTATCATAATTGAGTACAGCACGACCCGTTTATAGCATAGTTGTATTTCACCGTTAAAGTTTGTTCAGGCCAAATAATTACTATTTTTAAAAAAAATTATAAAACAATGTAATTTAGATTTATTTTTTAATTTTTTCCAAAAGTAAAAACATACGGAGGAGTGACTTTTTTAATTTATTTTTGATCTCTTCCAAGCAAGAGAAAAATCAAATAATACAAAGAGGAGAGAAAAAGGAAAGAGAAGGGAGGAAGTTTGTTTAGTTAGGAAGAGAGAGCGCATAAAAGTAATTCTCTTCCTACTCTTCTAACCAAACACCTAATACATCTAATGAACAGAATTTAAAAAACTTGAACTGAACACATCATAATTGAAATCGGTAAATCACATTGCGGTTCACTTTCTAGGGTTTCAATCTTTTCGTTATCACACTCGTATGTATTTTCTCTCTCTCTCTCGAATTATTTCCATTTCTCACCTGACAAACTGAACTAATCACCACTCTTCCAATGGCGATAACCATTTTCATCTCCTCCCAAAACCCTAGAGTCCTCTACTTGTTACTGAACCAAACTGCCGACATTTTCATCTACTTGTTATTGTTCAAACTTCAATTCTTTATGATTTTTGATAAAATCGTTCAGAAATTGTGAGCAGAGCTTAATATATATTTTGAAACAATAAAAAAACGCCAAATTCACTACAAAAAGATTAATTTCAAGAACCAACAATGTCAGCGATCTCTATGCGTTTTGATGGGGTTTTCGTGAACACGAGCAAATCGAACTCGTTCTCAGGTGCTCTTCAGTTTTTTTTATTCATTTCAGATTGTCGTGAAAGTTCAATGAATTGGCATTTTCAAGTAAGTATCACCGGCCACCGTGAAAGATTGCCATTTGTTATCGTTCTCTCGAGGTACAATGCATGTGTAAATCAGTTCCAAATGAAGTTGATGAAAGTGTTGTTAGATTAAAGTATTGGTGCTTTTGACGTCCATTGGTGATTTTGACGTCCATGTCACTGTGTGTGTTTTTCAACGTTCTTGATTGTTTTAACAATGCGGTGTGGAATTTTATGCCATTGCTTTTTTGACTCGTGATCGACATATGGCGATCTTAGAACATGGGGGATTGTGAATTTGATGTTGTATGATCCGTTCTTGTCATATGTGAGGTTCCCATGATGTTTCCGTTTTTTCATTTTCTATGCACTTGTTTATGCAGTTTTAATTTGTAGCTGTTCATCAATTTCTACGTGGTACCAAGTTTAATGTTTTCAACCAATTATTTGGGTGTCAACTGGGGAAGAGATGAGAAGAATCTTCCGAAATGAAGAAATGTTTATGTCGCAATTCACAAATAGACAGCAAGTCTCTTTCTCACTGTCAAAGTTTGACTCTTTTGAATGATAAAAGATCTGCATGTTGTTATCAGGGGAATTTTGAACTGAGGGAGGTTCTTGCAGTTGCTTATAATTTATTTATTTATTTTGTTTGGTAAGTAATATTAATATTAACAGAAGGAACAAAATACAAGTACTAAGTGGGCAAATTCCCTAGGAAGGGGTGAAAAGGTGAACTATACAAAAGAAAAACAGAGAACAACAGGCTCATTAAGGATGGAAAACTTAAAAAACACTATGTAGGAGTCTCCAAAGCAAGTGTGAAAACTGCAATTCCTTATTCATATTGGGTAAAAACTCATTATAACAGTTGTCATAAATCACATTGCTTATATTTCGTAATCCCGGTGCCTTATTCTAAATTGTGTCTTGCTAGGTATCTACTGGTGAAGTGTTAGGTGGGTTTTTTTTGCTGTCCTGAGTCCTAATAATGCAGAACCTAGTCTCATATTGTCAATTATTTATTATGAAGAGTCAAATTTGTGAAGCTTCAACTCTTATTCTTGTATTATTTTAAGTTTCCCATTTCAATGGACCAAAAAAATATAATATATTTAGCTGCTAATTTTTTTCCAAGAAATAACAAACATTAACATGGTCTAGCTTTAATATTGGAAAGCCTGACAATTTTATCAGAATTGGCGGTGCCCGCCTCAAATTCAGATACCTGGGGCAAAGTTGGCAAACTTCTAACACATTGTTGTCAAAAGACTCAAAACTATTATTTATGACCTCCGTTGACGGTATGTCATCTACCAGTAGGCCAGAACTGAGGTAGGTTCATACTATCACTCTGCTTATAAGTAAATTCTAGACTCACCTCAACTTTGTCGCAAAGGATACTTCTTTTGGCTTTTCTTCTTCTGTAGCTGCTGCTTTGATACCCCTTTTTGTCACCTCTGAGTTTAAAAGGTTAGCTTTATTGCATTTTAACTTCATTATTGAGCATGCTGTGTTTGATGGGTTATTGTGCTGCATTTCTGTAGCCATTGTCTGGAATTCCCTCCTGACATATTTCTTTTCTGCTTTTATTTTTATGTGGGATTTGATGGTGCTAATGATACGTACACTTCTTTCATATCAGTTCTTTTTGGTTGTTGAAAACATCATGTATATTTTTCTTTGTTCTAAACAAGTTAATGTAACTAGATTATGCAGCCTGCAGGCTACGGAATTTAAACTGTGAGAACTGCAGTTTGGTGGCACCACAAGTTTGGTTGAGTCAGCTCCATCGAAAGAGTATCACCGGTGGTGTTAATAAATAAAGTTACTAACAATGGCTGAGGATGGTGATCTGCCTCCCCCTCCCCCTCCCACTGAGAGAAAGTGGATGATGATGCCGCTCTTTGTTTTCTTCAAAGATGCTAGGTAAAGTTTCTTTTCTAGGTCCAGAAGTTCTTCTATTTGCACAGGAAAGATTTTTAGATATTATAAGTGACATGATGCTGAAGGTTTTCTGAGGAAGCCTTCTGCCTTTAGATTAGAAAGCCATCTATTTCTTAAGTAATGCTTGGTAGAGTAAGATTCATCTCTTCAGACAGACAAGCTTAGATTGATAACTTTTAGTTTATTTCTCACTCCATTGTTTTTCTGCAGCATTTGCTTCATTTTTTATGATTAATAGGTTAGACCTTTGTTGTTTAGTTTATATGACCGTTATCGTTGAAAATAAATCATAATAGAGTAATTTAAATGCTTCTAAGAGCTGATTCTTATTTTAAAAATTTTGTGTTAGGCTTGTTTTCAAGATGGATGCACTTGGGTCGGAGATCTTACGGATTGCATTCCCGGCAGCCCTGGCTTTAGCTGCTGATCCCATTGCTTCTCTAATTGACACAATATTCATTGGCCGTTTAGGTCTGCTTTTATATGACTTAATATTTGAATGAGTTCAATCGCTTCTACTTAAAGAATTTCTCTAGTTGACAGATTGATGTAAGTGGATATGCTTATATAGGCTTTGCCAAGTACATAGTTCTTGATATTCATGTTCACACATCATCAGGTTCATAATGTTTACCGAAAATGGCCACTGATTGAGAGAAAGTTTACACAATTCATACATATATATATTTTTCTTTCTATAAGATAAACGAGAAATTCATGCACAGTTTTTTGGTTGGAAAATAATTACCTTCTCCTTCATGGGTCAACAAGGTGATAAACTTTGCATATTGTGGATAAAAGAGTTTATATGTGTAGACTCGGTGACTATTTTTGTGTTCTTTATACGTTCACCAATTAATTACCTTTCAACAGTCCCCTTCTTTGTTAGTGTACCACAAAATCATTTAACTACAGGTGTTAGGTGATAGATCAAATGTCAGTATTTTCCCAAATGTGAAGAAGTAGATGTGTTCTGAATTTGCACATGGTTTCCTCCGGTAATAGATATGGCAGTGTGGCAGTGCCTTTGCATTTAATCAGTTATTGGTTTTAGACCAGTCCACATCCTAACAGTTTGCTGCTTCAGCACAATGCTTCATATGTTTTCCTGGTTTTTATTTGCTCAACTCACGTGGAGACCGCCATGATCAAATTCTATGGAAAATATATTCCTTCGGATTGCCACTTTAAAGGGAATTCAGCCCCACAATAATGCAACATGTTTCCCCTACAGATCTTGTCAACTTGACACTAATTGTGCAACTTTACCATTGTCCTTCCATATGATATAGAATCACTGCAGTCCAGTGCACACTTAATGTTGTACTTCTCTGAATTGAGGAGTTTCATTCAGGAACCTTTTCAAGGCCTATTTGAGAACAGTGAACACAATTTCAACATTTTTGTCCACTGTGGCTAAAACTAATGCTACTCTTTTCCCTCTATTTAAGATCCTACCATTCGATAGGTAACAAAAAAACCGAAATATATTATTTAAGAACATACCTGAGATTTTTAGTTCATTGTGGCTGACAAATTTGACTTAGTTTGGTTGTTTGTAGACATCTTGTCTTTGGAGGAATGAGTGTGTAGCCTAGTTGCAAGGTTCCAACTCATGGGAGTTCCTTTCGGGAGCTCAGCAATAAACTATTTGCCAAAATAAGAGTACAAAACATTGTTTTGAGTTGAACGAATATGCACTTTCACATCAATGCTCGGTCTCATAGGTTGATCTGCCTTTTTTGGCTACTGGTTTCAGTAATCTATAGTTTCTTTGAACAATAGCTTGTTTAGTAAATGTTGGTCCTTAATATCATTTCCATTAATTTGTAGGTCCGGTGGAGCTTGCTGCTGTAGGAGTTGCTATTGCTATTTTCAATCAAGCTTCAAAGGTTACTATATTTCCACTTGTCAGTATTACAACTTCTTTTGTTGCTGAGGAAGACACTATTGGAAGACTTAGCAGTGAAGTGGTAAAAGCGGAAAATTTGGAGAAGGGTTCACCCAAAAACAATGAAATGAAAGAATTGATGCCAGAAGATGTTGACCTTGAGAACTTGGAAAAAGGTTCTGCCACAAACAGCGAAATGAAAGATTTGATGCCAGATGAAGGTACTCTCTCTCTCTCTCTCTTTCTCTGTGTATGTGTGTGTTTTTGTGTGATATGCAAAGGACTAAGGTACAAGATCATTTTTAATTTATAACATGTCATTCTTTAACCCATGTGAAAAACCATATGCACATCTCTATACCCTTAAGGACTTTGGCTACCACTGTAAACCTCAAGAAAACTACGACCCCTTAATGATATTTGTTTTTTTAACATGAAATAGTTGCTTGGTGATTTTTTCATCAGATTTAAAACCAACAGCGTGCAACTCTCCGACTGCTTCTAGTAGCAATTCAAAGAAGGCCAAATTTGAAGGTGGAAGGCGACATATTCCTTCAGCATCAACTGCCCTTTTTGTTGGCAGTGTGCTTGGCCTCCTTCAAACCGTATTCCTTATAATTCTGGCGAAACCTATCTTGGGTTTTATGGGTGTAAAATCTGTAAGTGTATTAATTAATCTGCGGTCCTTGAATTTGTTGTTTTTATTGTTCATGTTTCCTTTATGCAAGTTATTGTGTATATTTATTCTCAAGCTCAGGTATATCTTTAATATAGTTTGTAATAATTAAGAGTGCTGAATGAAGTATAATTTATCAATTTTCCAAATTTTGGTGAAACTAAAAGTTTATGTGGTGTTGCCCTATTGGACAATGATTATTAGTCATAGAAGTATATTGAACAGAAACTGTGAAAGAAATTCCATTTTCCTATATCAGCATGTGAAATTTATTCTTTCTAATATGATCATGTTGTTCCCATACATTATGTCCTCATTCCTCCTTAATTATTGACTATCCCCTAGGAGTAGTGACAACTAAAAATGCAGTAATTGCAGGCTATAGCCAATTTTGATATTTTCTAGCTCTTATCTATGTTACATGGGGTCTAGCATTCCCTTAACATATACGTGTCTACACAAGATGGGGATAAAATGGGTTACGTGTTCAACACATACCCAAATCGGACCACCAGATCCTGTATGTATGTGATGGATGAAAAACTCAAATAGTAGCTTCCAAAAAAAAAAAAAACTCTAATTTGATAGCAAGAAGGTTTTCCTAGGAATCCCCTTTTTTGCCACATTCCATTTAATTTAAATTATGATTTATATTTTTAACTAACAATAATATCATACATTATAGTGTTATATAAGGTATTATGTATTCACATGTGCATAAAGTGTTCACATATCCTTATCCTACTTTTGGAAACTTTACAAGTCAAGTCCTTGTGCCATAAAATTTGTGATTCATGGGATTATGATACTTAGATACACACCTGTACCCGATACAACTGAGTCCATGTAACAGAATTTTTTTAAAATTATTTTTATTGTTTCCCCTTCATTGCAATTGGAAATGCCACAGTTATGCAAGTGTTGATCAATACCATTGTTTTTGTTCATACGGTTCTTGGATGCTGTTTTTGTTCATATGTATATGAGGTTAAATCTTCTAACCCGTAACTTTATTATTTACCCTTTAACTTCTTCCTGAAATGTTTTAATGATGTATGATTTTCTTTTATAGATAAGTTGCTAATCTGCAGTATGCCTTCTCCTACTTAAATTTTCATTTTTGTTGTTGCACTCTGGAAGTATTTTTGCATGGTATGATAACAGAGTGCATGTGTTAAATGCATTTAAGTTACAACTATGATTTTTTTTTTTTATTCATCTCAGTCATTTTGAGTTGGAAACTGGAAACAGTACTATGGTAATTTTCCTTCATTCTTCACGATACTTATTTTCCTAGCATGTCATGGTAATTAAGATAGTTCTATTGAGATGACTGTATACCTTTATATGCTGCATTAAGCATTGGTTATTATTGTAGACAACAATAACCAATGCAGCCTTTTTTGAATTGAATAGGGTTCCCCGATGCTAACCCCTGCGCGGAAGTACTTGACTTTGAGATCACTTGGTGCTCCTGCTGTTCTTCTCTCTTTGGCTATGCAAGGGGTCTTTCGAGGATTTAAGGACACCAAAACTCCTTTATATGCAACTGGTAAATTCTCTATCCTCTTCCTTTTCACGGAGAACTCTCTATTCATTTTGATATTCACTTCTTGTTTTAGTCCAAGATCTTAATTTTTGAGAAATATGATAAGAAGATGAAATTGTGAATTTTTGGGGATTTTCTCAAAAATGTTATAAAACCTATTTAGATGCAGATAAATTTTTATCCCGATGATGGATTTAGTATTTAGAGGCTTATATCTTCATCCACATTTGATTTAGAAACATTGATCAATCAGGCTGTTAATTTCATAATAAGCCTATATTTGGTAGGAGGAAAGGAACGGGGAGAGAGGGAAAAGAGGAAGGATGGAGGAAGCTTCCATTGTTTGGTAGAGGGGAAAGGAATCCAAAATTGGGAGTGAAGAGAAAAAGAAGGATATTTTTTGGATAAAAGTTGAAAAGACATTATTATCCTCATTTAATTGTGTTATTATATGTTTGTGTGAGTGTTTGTGTGTATTTAAGTGTATGTTGATAAAATAATTAAATTATCCATATCCTTCCCTTTCACTTAACCAAACAAAAACAGGGAGTATAATTGACACCCTCTCTTTCCTAGGGATGCCTTTTCCATCTTGCCTTTCCCTTCCATCATTTTTTCATCCCTCTCACCGACTGGGAGTATAATTGACTGTCCAACTAAATTCTGTAATTGATTATATCTACTCTACTTGAAACATAGACCTATGGACATCACTTTCAAATTTATAGATCAACCACATATTCTATGTAAATGAAATAAATGAAAATAAAAGTAATACAATTTAAAAATATTTGCTAGATACTTAATCTTCCATGTAATTTAGTTTGTAGAGATATGTTGTCTTAGAGTTAAATAATAAAATATTTTTAGTGTGAAGCAGTAATAGAACTTGTTGAGAAGTCAAAATAAGATAGACCATTCAATAAAAAGCTATGCAGTTTCAATATTATCTTTCAGTTTCCAAGCAATTGAAAACGTTTCAGGTTTCTGAGGAAAATATCTCTGTACATCATGAATGCTGGCTATTCGATTAGGGATGCAATCTGGTGGGGCCAGTGCAATCCAATCCAGTTTTAGATGGTCTTGGACAATTTTTTTTGTTGCTTGGGTTGAGTTTTGGTTGAAAATTTCAACTTAACCACAATTTGGGTTGGACTTGAATAGAGGTGCCGGTAACCCGATCTCAACCCAAATCTGACCTATATTAATATTAGGAATAATATTTTAGTTGATTCATAACTTGAGCCTAATCCAAGCCTAACCTAAGTCTATTTTGATTAGTTTGATGCCTGATCAAGCTAACCCGACCAACTCATGCCTAATCTGTGTTTAACCCGAATATAGAAAAATATGCTCAAATTGGGATCGGGTTGAGCTTGTCAGGTTGGAAGTTGGGTTGGGCACGGTTTGACCCCTCGACCTTCCCGAGTTGCGCAGCTAATTATGATATCAGTGTTAGCACTTAAGCTTTTACAATTATGCATTGTGAATTCATAGTGTGTGCTTGCATCATACACATATCCTGCTTTCTCGCTTGAGATTCGTAGGCATTTTAACTAACTCCGATCATCCGTCTCTCTTTTTATAGTTGCGGGGGATTTATTAAATGTCATTTTGGACCCAATTCTTATATTTTCCTGCCGTTTGGGAGTCAGTGGTGCAGCCATTGCACATGTTCTTTCTCAGTAAGTTGTTTTTGGAGATGATCTACTTGATGGAGCATATTTAAAACTGAGTGATCTTTTTCATTTTCTTCTTCTTCTTTTACTTACATGGTTGATGTTCTTTCCAGATACTTAATTTCGGTTATCCTCTTGTGTAAATTGATGAAACAAGTTGATCTCTTGCCTCCCAGTATCAAAGATTTGCAGTTCAGTCGGTTTCTTAAAAATGGTAAGGGCCTTAATTCTTGCTCTATCTGAATTATTTTTTATTAGTTGCACCCTAATCGTAAGAAGCATTCTTTTATATTTAGGACCCCAGTCTCCACAGTTTAGTCAAGTATTTAGAAGTCTATAGCCTTGTGCCACTTTTAATTATTATGGTGTATAGCCTTCAGTTGAAAAATAAAATTTACTTGTTAAAATATTCCCCAAAGTGTTATTTGTTAAAGCACTTAAATACACATCATCATCAATAATGTCAGCTGGGTCATTGAATCATACGTGAACAATATGTATTGCTTACAGAACCACGTGGTCGGTGAACTATGTGCATCTTCTGCTAGACTTCTGGTGGATTTGACACCAATATTATGTTTGTCCCACATATTTCTGTACTGGTAGGTGACCTACAGAACTTAGATAGGCAACCATTCCCATTACTCATACAAGTTCTGAATTCTAATGTCTATTACAGTCAATGCTTCTGGAATATTCAGACTTGCATCACTTTCATATCAACTGCCCTTTTGACAGAACTGACTTATGTGATCCTACCACTTATCAAAAATAAATAAATAGATAAAAAGAGGAAGAGAAAAGAAAATAAAAGAAGAAAAACAATTGTGTGACCATCCTAGTTGCTATCCACTCTGGAGATAACTGTCAATTTTGATGAGACTAGGACTTGTCTGTGGGAACAAATATCAGAGTGTTTGTGCCAGGCTTCTTTCATACTTACATCATAATTATATCAACCTTACACTTGCTTGCATATTTGTAATTTATATCACTTTGTCTCATTACCTATTTTACGTTGTTTTTGCGTTTGTGCTCAGGTTTTCTGGTATTAGCAAAGAGCTAATTTGTGCTTGCTTTTACATCAACCTCACATTTACTACCTGCATATTTGTAATTTATATCACTTTGCTCATTACCGTTTTTACTTTGTTTTTGCATTTTTGCTCTCAGGTTTTCTGTTATTAGCAAGGGTAATAGCGGTGACATTTTGTGTGACCTTAGCAGCATCAATGGCTGCAAGGCTGGGTTCGACACCCATGGCTGCTTTTCAAATTTGCTTACAGGTCTGGATGACATCATCGCTTCTTGCTGATGGTTTAGCTGTTGCTGGACAGGTACAGGAGACTTTTCTCCTCCCCGCTCCCTCTCTCCTCTCTTTTGTGGCATCAAATAGCTCAAATATCCTTAGAATTCACCTAAAAATGTGGCTTTTATTTTGGTATACCATATTAATTATGAAACTAAACACCCTAGAACAAACAATGCAATCAGTTATGTAAATAAGAGCACAACATGACAAAGTCACTGTTGGGCATGAATATGTACGGAGGAGACAGGAATAATTTCACATTCTTAGAGAATGGCTGCTGATGTGCTCCCCAACCAAGTGGCTTTGGCTTTTAAGCTGTCGTGTATTGATGCACTAAAATGCTAGGTAATTTAGGACAGTGCAGCCTATGGTTGAATAATGTTTGTAGGTCTTGGGGACTGAAAAAGGTTGATATATGTTTGATACTAAAAGTGCTAGATTGCTGTTTTTTTGAGGAAGAAAAGGTGCTAGAATCTGGGTGACAAGTATTTTAGGGCCCATTGGGATTGAAAGATTTTAAATGAATGAATTTACGTTCAATGTATGAAGTCTAGTTTAAATTTAGATTGCAATATGGAGATTCTAAGGACCTTAAAAGACAGTTTTCGTAGTAGTAATTGAGATTTAAGTTTTAACACCATGCATGGATTTCTTTGAGAGAATTTATATATACGGATTTCAAATAATGAGGTACAAAGAGTTATTTGAAATCCATGTCGGATTCTACTTGAACAATAATTGCAATACCTATAATCTAACCTCATCTTAGACTTCTGATTCCAACTTTGGTAGCCACTCTTTCTATTTAAAGCTCAAATTGCTTGATTTCAAATCCATCTATTTATCCAAATGAACCAATAAGTTTATCGGTGTCAAATTTAAGGTGAAAAATTAGGGGAATGGTTCAAGGTTAATTTGGACCATTTATGGTTGGGGGATAAAATATGAGCTATCTGGAGACTGGACTGTATCAAAAGAACAGTACAAGAAATTTTCTGACTTTTTCATTTTCACTAATAATGTATATATTACCTTTCTTACGAAAAAGAAGTAATCTGTTATCTCCCTTGCACTCTTCTAGGCAATCCTTGCTTGTGCATTTGCCGAGAAGGACAACAAGAAGGCAACAGCTGCTGCATCTAGAGTTTTACAGGTATGAAATCTACTTGATTTTTCTTTTCCTAGGTAGTACTCACACAACCCCCCCTTCCCCTGCGGAATGGCACCCAAGACGAGTCGAACCTTACCTGATGCTTCTCGAGGCACCAGGGCCAAGTGACTTACTGTTACAAGGGTCCCACGTCGGATCTGGATGGGAAAGTGAATGGGTATAAATGGGTCGGGTGTTAGCCCCACCTAATAGCTTAAGCTTTTGGTTCAGATGCAAAGCACCACCCATTACACTTACCCACTTGAGCCAACCCCTTGGGGTTATAAATGTACTCAATTGTATTAGCAGAAACCCTTCTCTCATTCATTGCTTTTGTAATTTTGGGAGATTTTGCAAATAAACTATTCACTTGCATTCAATTTTCACCATGAAGATAAACACTTCATTGGCATATATTGTCATCAAATCAGAATCACAACTACATACAATGGCATTGATGCACTTATGTAGGATTTCAATTGTCATTTTAAATGTACAAAACCTAAAGATGTTGATTGATTTATTTTGCAGATGGGATTCGTATTAGGCCTTGGGCTTGCCGTACTTGTTGGACTCGGGTTGCAATTTGGATCTGGGATCTTTACAAAGGATAAAAATGTTATTCACTACATAAGCATAGGCATCCCGGTACAATTCACATGCTAAGAGGAAGTTTTAAAACTTTTTATTTTTATTTTCATGACTGGTAACTTAATTTTCTTATATTCTACCCTCAGTTTGTTGCTGCTACACAACCAATCAATTCGTTAGCCTTTGTTTTTGATGGTGTGAATTTTGGAGCATCTGATTTTGCTTATTCTGCGTTCTCCATGGTAAGTTTAAACTTCTTTCTCCGCATAAAACAAAAGCATAATATTTGTAGTTTTATCTTCATATACTATCTTTAGTAAATGTTAATGCTAGAATTATTGTATCATCAGGTCTTGGTGTCCATAATGAGCATTGTATCTTTGTTCCTTCTCTCTAAAAGCAATGGTTTTGTTGGAATATGGATTGCTTTGACCATTTATATGGTTCTTCGCACATTTGCCGGAATTTGGAGGTAATTTTATTGTATTTATGAGGAACATGAGTGTGATTTCCTCCTTGTGATGTGATCACTTGCTTAAAGTTCTAAAAGCAAAAAATGGAAAACGGATACCAATCTATTCTGTGCCCTGCAAACAGTGAATGGACCACAATAGGTGTACTAATCTGATTAGGTGAACCCTATGAAGAGAATATATCACGCTACTCTCAGTTCTCACTCTAATAGAGTAGCTCCTGCTGTGATTAAAATGTAGGAGAATAAATGAATAATAGTTGCCAAGATTGAAGAATAATGATAATGTCTGGCATTGCGCTTTTAAGCCTAACAAATATATTTGTTAGGCTTAAAAGCGCAATGCCAGACATTATCATATATGTGTGCTAATTCCTAGTGATGTTTGATATAATGCAAAAGAGAGATTCTGAAAATTAGTAGGGGATCTCTAGCGATTCCCATGGAACGGGAACGTCCATAATTTTTATGCTTAAAATTGATTGAAATGGGTAATTGATATTTCTTTGACAATCTGCCTCACATTTGCAGGATGGGTACCGGAACAGGACCATGGCGCTTCCTCAGGGGGCGGTTGTTGCCATAGGATATGAAGTTCCAGGCACTTTTGTAATCTAGTGACAGCATTGCTGTTTTTACTTCATTCTTTTACCTTTTTATTTTTTTTGACAGAGTTCCTTCTGCTCCTTTTCTACCCTTGTGTCTGTATCATAATTGCACCTAGTAAAATATTTCTTCTTATATATATTTATATATTTGATGTCTTAAGAACTGAGAATCTAATTTGATATTAGATATTTTTTGTTTTTCTATCTACATTGTAACCCATGCTATCCTTGTGTAGTAGTCCGTGCTGATCTTCCATGTATCGAGGTTACGAATGTTTAACGGCTTTTTTGTAAGCCGATGACAGTATTGAATGAAGAATAATTTCTACTGGGTTGAATTGCATTCTTTTAAGCTGTGCTAATCTTGTCATAGGCAGTCTGGTGATGCCAAATTAACAAATTTTAGGTCTTCTTTTTCCCTATTCTCCAAGGTCAAAATTTATACCAAGAATTTTATGTACACAGTAACAAATTCACCCTATTCTCATCTGAGCAGAGGCTAACCCGCACGCACATTGATTCATGTATAAACCAAAGTTAGGAAGTCATGACGTGGACTCCCCAATTTTCCAATCCACCATATTTGATTTTTCAACCAAAGTTCTTAAAATTCCATATAAATATTCTTCCCAAGCAATTACCATCTGCTGTTGGGACCCACCACACGACCTGTCATACCATCTTAAATGGATCTAATTAAAGCGCGCCAAGTGTGTGAGTGTGAAAGTAGAAGTAAAGAATACTGCACAGAGAAGACTAGTCGACAATCTAGGAAAAAAGGAAGAAAAAAACTAAAAGAGGACTTGCACTGATAACAACGCGAGTCGTCTGCTCGTTATTGAACCAAATTGCAACTTTTTTATTGTTACAGCTCAAATCACATCAGTTCATACTTCAATTCTTCTTAATTTCGATCAAAAGGTTCAGAAATTGTGCTGTAATCTTTAGATCTTTTCGTTCACGACTGTTCTTCAGTTTCTGTAATCATTACAGATTGCCGCCAAAGTTGGCGTTTTCAGGTTATATCGTTCTCATTTATTCCTAATCAAGTTTCATTAAAGGTATTGGTGTTTTTTATATTCTTGCTTGTAATATATGTTCTTCAGTTTTTTTATTTATTTTTATTTATTTATTTATTTTTTTTATGCATTTGTTTATTTAATTTTTATTCATAAATTTTCATCATTTTATAGTAGGTCCATAGTTAAATATTTTTTTACCTATTATTTGGGTGTCAACTGGGGAACATGATGTATAAGATAAGAGGAATCTTCCTAATAAATAATTTGGACCGCAATCTCTCTCAATCTCTCAAGTTTGACTATTTTAGAAAAGAAAAAAAAAAAGTTTGACTATTTTGAATGATAGGAAATGTTATCAGGTTGAAGAGAGGGAGGTTCTTGCAATTCCTTATTATATTTGATTAAAATCTCCTGAAAATTATTTTCGTAAATCACACGCTTATAATTTGGTAATCCCTATGCCTTATTCTAAATTGTGTTTTGCTAATGTATTTCCTGTTGAACTTTTAGGTGATTTTTCCCTTTCCTGAGTCCGAGTTATGCAGAACCGGACCTCAGTTTTTTAATTATTTTGTTTTTTCGGTTGTATCATTTTAAATTTCCCATCTCCTAGGTCAAAATTTGTTCTTTATCTAGTAATGTTTTTCTGAAACAGTCTAAATTTTAATAGTGGAAGAAACATCAGCAGCATCATTTCGGGCATTTTTGCCTGAATTGGCATCCGGTTCAATTTGGTTGTCTGCCTGAGATTCAATCGCCGTTGACAGTATGTTGTCTCCCAGCAGACCAGAACCGAGGTAGGTTCATACCTCATACTATCATTTTACTGAAAAGTAAATTATGGATTCACCTCAACTTTGTTGTTAAGGCATACTTCTTTTGGATTATCTGTTTCCGTCGCTTTTGATTGTTAAAAACATCTTGTATATGTTGTTTTTTTTTTCTTTCTTTCTTTTCTCTAATCCAGTGAATGGAACCAGATTGTGCAGCCCGCAGGCTGCGGATCTTAACATGTGAGCACTGCAGTTTGGGTGGCACCATAACTTCGGTTGAATCAGCTCTACCAAAAGAGTTTCACCGGTTTGTAAATTAAGTTGAAGGATTTTGGCCTTTGCTAATCATGGCCGAAGATGGTTATCAGCCTCCCCCTGAGAGAAACTGGAAGATGCCACTCTCTATTTTCTTCAAAGATGCTAGGTAAATTTTTACTAATTTACAATTGCAAATCCTTTCTAGGTATGGGAGTCTCTACTTGCACAGGAAAGAATTTGAGATATTATAAGAGAGATGATACGGATGGTTTTTTGAGGAAACCTTCTTCCTTTAGATCAGAAAGTCGTCTGTTTCTGGAGTAATGCTTCGTAGAATTAGATTCATCTCTTCAGACAACAAACTTAGATTGATACCTGTAGTTATTTATCAATGCTTTGTTTTTCTGAAGCATTTGCTCTAATTTTTATGATTAATAGGTTAGGACCTTTGTCGTTTGCTTTATATGACTGTTGTCGTTGAAAAGGAATCATTATAGAGAAATTTAAATGCTTCTAAGAGTTGATTCTTGTTTTAAAAAATGTTTGTTAGGCTTGTTTTCAAGATGGATGCACTTGGGTTGGAGATATTACAGATTGCATTCCCAGCAGCCCTGGCTTTAGCTGCTGACCCCATTGCTTCTCTAATTGACACAGCATTCATTGGCAGTTTAGGTCTGCTTTTACATTACTTATTTATGTGAATTAGTTTAATAGCTTCTAATTAAAGAATTTCTCAAATTGACTGCATGCTGTAAATAGCTATGCTTGTATTTATGTATTTCTTGGTACTCTCTCTACTCTTGGATGCCTCAAGTTCACACATAATTGGGTTCATAATCTTTAACAAAAATGATTTGTGATTAAGAGAAAGATGACATAATTCATGTACTGTTTTCTGATAAAGAAATGCGCATTTATGCACAGTTGTAAACTTGGAAAATAAACATCTTCGCCTACACGAGTCGACAAGGTAACAAACTTTGCATGTTGTGTTTAGCGCGGTTTAATTTACTCAGTGACTATATCGTGTTCTTTATGAGTTCCACAGTCCCTTTTTTTGTTAGTGTCCCATAAAATCTTTTTACAAAATCAGTATTTTACCAAATGTGAAGAACTAGATGTGTTCTGAATTTGCATGTGTTTTCCTTTGGTAACAGATGTGGCAGTGGACAATGCATTTGCATTTCATCATTTAATGGTTTAAGGCTAGTGCACATCTTAACAGTTTGCTTCTTCTGTAATATGCTTTGAATGTTTCCTGGTTTTTATTTGCTGAACTCACGAGCAGACCATCATCACCAAATTTTATGGATAGATGATTCCTCTGGATTGCCACTTTACAGTGCGACATCTTTCCCCAACAGAGCTCTCAACTTCACACTCATTACGCAACTCTACCATTGCCCTCCTGTATGATTTGGTACCACTGCAGTCCAGTGCACACATAATGCTTTACTTTCCTCTAAATCGAGGAGTTGTTCACCTTTCTGGCTAGGACACCTCATTTAACTGAGTAACCCATATCAAGGCCAATTTGAGAACACAATTTCAACATTCTCGTCCACTATGGCTAAAAAATAATGCTACTCTTTCCTCTGTATTAAGGGTCCTACTATTCAGTCACTAACAAAAAAGCCTAAAATATATGATCTCAAACATAATCCTGAGATTTTTTGTTTATCATGGCTGACAAATGACTTAGTTTGGTTGTGTAGACATCTCATCTTTGGAGGGATGAGTATGTAGGCTAGTTGCAAGATTCTAACTCATGGGAATTCCTTTTTGGAATTCATTTCAACCATAAACTATATTCCAAAATAGGAGTAAAAACACTGTTATTATTTTAACAAATATGCATTTTCACATCAATGCTTGCTCTCTTAGGATGATGTACCTTTCTGGGACCTATAATTTCTTTGAACAATAGCTTGTTTAGTAAATGTTGTTCCTTAATATCATTACCATTATGTTGTAGGTCCGGTGGAGCTTGCTGCTGTAGGAGTTTCTATTGCTATTTTTCATCAAGCTTCAAAGGTTACCATATTGCCACTTGTCAGTATTACAACTTCTTTTGTTGCTGAGGAAGAAACTGTTGGAAGAATTAGTAATGAATTGCTAAAAGTGGAAAATTTGGAGAAGGGTTCACCCAAAAGCATTGAAATGGAAGAGTTGAAGCATTTGATGGCAGAAGAAGGTACTCTCTCTCTCTCTCTCTCTCTCTCATTTGCATAGGACAAAGGTGAGTTAAATTTTAATTTATAACATCTTTACCCCTTGTGAAAAACTATATATGTACATCTATACCCTTACGGACTTTGGCTACCACTGTAAACCTCAAGAAATCTACAAGCCCTTAATGATATTTATTATTTAACATGAAATAGTTGTTTGCTGATTTCTTCATCAGATTTTGAAACAACAGTGTACAACTCTTCAATTGTTACTAGTAGCAATCCAAATAAGGCCAAATTTGAAAGCAAGAAGCGACATATTCCTTCAGCATCAACTGCCCTTGTTGTTGCCAGTGTGCTTGGCCTCCTTCAGACCATATTCCTTATATCTCTAGCAAAACCGATCCTGGGTTTTATGGGTGTGAAATCTGTAAGTGCATTCTTTATACTGCAGGTCCTTGAATTAGTTGTTTTTATTGTTAATGTTGCCTATATGCAAGTTATTGTGTATATTTGCTCTCAAGCTGAGGTATATCTTAACTATAAATTGTGAGATAAAGTGCGCTAAATGAAGTATTGTTTATCAATTTGCCAAAATCTCAGGAAAACTAACAGTTTATGTGGTGTTGCCCTATCAGACAATGATTATTGAGATATAGAAGTATATCAAACAGAAACTGTGAAATGAACTTCCATTAGCCTGTATAAACATGTCAAATTTACTCTTTCAAATGTGATCATATTGTGTCCCAAACATTATGTCCTCATTCCTCATTAATTATTGACCATCCCCCCATGAGTAGTCACAATTCTGAAATACAGTAATCACTGGGTATAGCCAAATTTTGATTTTTCTAGTGCTTATGTATGTTACGTAGGCCCTACCATTTCTTGTTGACATGATATGGGATGTGTCTGACACACATACCCAAATCGGACTCCCCGATCCTCTATGTATGTCGTGGATGAAGAGAAACTCAAATTTGAATCCCCTTTTTCACCACATCCCATTTAATATAATTTATGACGGGGAATATTTTTAAATAACAATAACATCATTCATTATATTATTAGATAACATATTATATATTTAAACGTGTCGAAAGTTCCCATGTGTCTTTATCATACTTTTGGACGCTTCCCAAGCCAAGTCCTTGTGCCATAAGATTTATGATTCAAGGGGGGTATGATACTTAGACATATACCCTTACTCGATACAACTGAGTCCATGTAACAGATTCTTATTTATTATTTGGGAAAATTACATATAAATGGAGTTAAAGTTTCATATTTACTTAGAGACTGAGTCAAAGTTCTATATTTCTCTAAAATGGATTGCTGAGGTGGCACATGGTTTTTTACTGTTTAGAAAATTGTGGTGCCTAAAATGCCCTTCCCTAACAAAAAAGTAGTACCTTCAGTTCAAAAAAGTAGTACCTTCGAAGAAAAAGTAGTACCTTCGCGGGTGTTTAAAAAACATGGTACCTGGACACCAAAAAGTAGTACCTTCAGTTCAAAAAAGTAGTACCTTCGAAGAAAAAGTAGTACCTTCGCGGAAGGGTATTTTAGGTACCACAATTTCTAAACAGTAAAAAACCATGTGCCACCTCAGCAATCCATTTTAGAGAAATATAGAACTTTGACTCAGCCTCTAAGTAAATATGAAACTTTGACTCCATTTATATGTAATTTTCCCTTATTATTTCCCCTTCAATTGCAATTAGAAGTGCCACAGTTTTGGAAGTGTTGGTTAATATGATTGTTGTTGTTCATATTTATACAAGGATAAATCCTATCACCAGCAATTTTATGCTTTACCCTTTTTAGTTCTTCATGAAATGTTTTTATAATGCTAATCTGCAATGCATAGTATACATTCTCCTACAATAATTCTCATTTTTGTTGTTGTACTTTGAAGTATTTTGAATGGTATGATAACAGTGTTCTGGTGTAAAATGCATGTGAGTTGAGCTACAACTATGAAAATTTATTTATTCATCTCAAATCATAATGAGTTAGAACTTGGAAACAGTAACATGTTAATTCTTCTTCATTCTTCAAGATACTTATTAGACTGGCTTGTTATGGTAATTAAGGTTGTTCTATTGGGGATGGCTATACACCTTATCTGCCGCATTAGGCATTGGTTATCATTGTAGAATGTAGACAACATTAAATAATGCGGCTTTTTATTTGTTGAATAGGGTTCCCCGATGTTAACCCCAGCGCTGAGGTATTTGACTTTGAGATCACTGGGTGCTCCTGCTGTTCTTCTCTCTTTGGCTATGCAAGGGGTCTTTCGAGGATTTAAGGACACCAAATCTCCTTTATATGCAACTGGTAAACTCTCTATAACAAAGTCTCTTCCTTTTCGAGGAGAAGTCCCTAACAATTTTTTTACTCATTTTTTGTTTCATTCCAAAGATCTAAAATGTTTCAGAAACATAATGATAAGATGATATTGTGAATCTGTGAGGAACTTCTTGGAAATGTTTTAAAGCCTATTTAGATGCAGATATATTTATACCAGCGATGGATTTAGTATTTAGAGGCCTATACCATCCACATTGGAACCTAGAAATGTAGACCAATGAGGCTATTGATAAGCGTGCATTCTAGAAGAGAAGGAAGGAGTAGAGAGGGAAAAGAGGAAGGATGTTGGATGATGGAATCTTCTATTGATTGGTAGAGGGGAAAGGAAGAAGAGAATGATGGGAGGATGGATGAGGCATCTCTCCAGGCCCATCGTTTTGCTTTCATCCAAAATTGGGGGAAGAGGTGAAAAAAGGAAGGATATTTGTTGGATATAATTGAAGAGACGTTATTATCCTCATTTAATTGTATATATATATATATATATATATATATATATATATATAACTGTGTAATGGTAAAAGAATATTATTATCTCTTTCCTTACCTTCCACTCAACCAAACAAAAGTAGGGATGGACACCCTAGCTTCTCTAGTGATGCCTTTTCCATCCCTCCTCTCCCTTCCATCCAATCTACCATCCACTGAATGGAACATAATTGCTTGTCTGATTAAATACTTTAATTGATTATATCTACTGTTGGAGAATAATTAAATGAGTGATTTAAGCCCTTAAATCACTCCTTGACAGAATGTTAAGTTGCTATACTTTGGCTTAAATCAGTCATATAATTATTCTAAAACATCTACTTGAAAACTAGTTGACATATGGATATGACTTCCAAATTTATAGATCAACCACATATTCTATAAAATGAAAAGCAAAATGATACAATTTGAAAGTATTTGCTACAGACTTAATCTTTCCTATTATATGATTTAATTTGTAAAGTGATGTAGGGTGAAGAAAAATAGAGAACAGAGAGAGAAGAAGAATGATAATAGACGGGGAAGAAATCTGAAATCACTCAATTCAATATTCAATAATCATAAAATGGTGCCTTAACAATGTTCTCAACCCACATATCAATAGGCATCAAGGAAAACCATAATCAAATCTAACTGCCATAAATAAAACCCTAAAATACTAAGTTAGGGAAGTATCCTAAAATTAACACATTATTAAAAAATAAATAAATAAATAAACAAAAATTCCTAATTCTATCTCTCTTTTCTGTCTCTCCAACAGTAAAGGCAGAACACATGCACTTTAAGCTTTTTGACGATACCCCATTCTCCATCATAAAGTTTATAAAATCAGGACATGTTGTCTTAGAGTTGAACTTTAGTGTGAAACAGTAACAGAACTCATTGAGAAGTTCAAATAAGATGCAGCTTTCAATAAAAAAACTATGCAGTTTCATTATTATGTTTCAATCTCCGAGTGATTGAAAATTTTTCTGGTTTTGGAGGGAAATGTCTATTCACGTCATGAATGCTGCCTAATCCAAACTTGACCTGAGTCTAATTTGCCTAGCTTGATGTCCTAATCAAACTGAACCTAACCGGACCAACCCAAGCCTAATCTGAGCTAAACCCGAATTCAGAAAATTATGTGCAAATTGGGGTCAGGTTGAGTTTGTGAGGTTGGAGTTTGGGTTGGGCTTGGATTGACCCATCATCCTGCCCAGTTGCACAGCTAATTCCAATTACGATATCAGTGTTTGTACTTGAGCTTTTACAATAATGCATTGTGAACGAATAGTTTGTGCGAGCTTCTGTCACATATCAAAAAGAAAAGGACCTCTATCTGCTTTCTTGCTTGAGGTTGTGGGCATTTCAACTAACTCCTGATCATCTGTATTTTTTTCTTATAGTTGCTGGGGATGTATTAAATATCATTTTGGACCCAATTCTTATATTTTCCTGCCATTTGGGAATCAGTGGTGCAGCCATTGCACATGTTCTTTCTCAGTAAGTTATTTTGAAGATATTCCACTTGATAGTGCATATTTAAATTTAATTTACGTAGTCAAGTTAATTTATTTAATTATCGTAATGTTCCAACATTCTAAGTGACTTTTTTCCCCCTTTTGTTTACATGATTAACGTTCTTTCTAGATACTTAATGTCGATCATCCTCTTGTGTCAATTGATGAAGAAAGTTGATCTCTTACCTCCAAGTATCAAAGATTTGCAGTTCAGTCGGTTTCTTAAAAAAGGTAAGGGGCTTAATTCTTGCTCTATCTGAATTATTTTTTATTACTCACAGCTAACTGTAATAAGTATTCCTTTATATAAGGGCCCCAGTTTACAAAGTTAAAATTGAGTATTTAGAAGTCGATAGCCTTATGTTACTTTTAATAATTACGGTGTATGGGTTTGAGTTCAAAAATAAATCGTTATTCATGAATTTATTCCTCGAAAGTGTATTTGTACAGAAGTAATTTGGATCGCTTAAGTACATATTATAATAAATGATATCAGCTGAGTCATTCAATCATAAATGAACAAATAATATGTATTGCTTACGGACAAATGCGGTCATGGAACTATGTGCATCTTTTGCTACAGAAATAAAAAGTGAATGTAATATGATCCCCCAATGTACCTCTGGTTGATTTGACACCAATATTTTGTTTGTCCCACATTCTTACTTTTCGGGTAGGTGACCTACAGAACTTCGATAGGCTTCCATACCTAATACTCATACCAAAACGTTCATTTTGCTAGCTCAATTATAAATGTCTATTAGCAGTCAATTCTTCCGGATTTTTTTCAAATACTTGCATCACTTTCAAATCAACTGCCTTGTGTGATTTTACTACTTATCAACAACAATAAAAATAAAAGGAAAATGAGTTATGAGATCGTACCGTCCTAGTTGCTGCCCATTCTTGAGATAACTGTCAGTTGAGATGAGAGTTGAGACTATGATTTGTCTACGGGAACAAATATAATAACTGTCGGTTGAGATGAGAGGTTAGAGTTGAGAGTTGAGACTATGATTTGTCTATGGGAACAAATATCATAGTGTTTTTTGTTTGGCTTTTTTCTTGCTAAGTTTTGTAGTTCCCGTAGATGCATCAATATAACCTGTCCTTGATGTCTTTACTTCTGTTCGTCACAGCTCTGTATTAGCAGGAATTGAATATTTTGAGCTAATTTATGCATGCTGTTTACATCATAATTATATCAACCTCTCACTTTCAAATTTATAATTTGTATCACTTTGTCTCATTATCTCCTTTTCTACTTTGTTTTGTGTGCTTGCGCTCAGGTTTTCTGTTGTTAGTGAGGGTAATAGCAGTGACATTTTGTGTGACCTTAGCTGCATCAAAGGCTGCAAGGCTAGGTCCAACACCTATGGCTGCATTTCAAATTTGCTTACAGGTTTGGATGACATCATCACTTCTTGCTGATGGTTTAGCTGTTGCTGGGCAGGTAAAGGACACTCCCCCCTTCCTTCCCCGCTCCTCTTCCTCTCTTTTATAGCATCAGATAGTTCAAATCTTCTTAGAGCTCACCTAACAGAGTGCCTTTTATTTTATTATTAGCAATATTCAGTGTGAAACTAAACACCTTAGATAGCAATGAGTTATGTAAACAAGAGCAGAACACGACAAAGTCACTGCTGGGCATGAATATCTGCAGAGCAGATGAATTTCACATTCTTTGAGAAGGGGCACTGATATGCTCCCATCCTAAAACTTGCCAACCAGAGTGTGGCTTTGGCTTTTAAGATGTAGCATATTGGTGCAGTACAGTACAAGGAATCCTAGGATAGTGAAGCCTATTGTTGGTTTTGTGGTAGGGTTTTAGCTACAGAAAGCTTGCAGGTTTGTGTTTTAAAAGTTTGAATATGTTGGTTTTGGGGATTGGAAAAGGTTAATATTTGCTTGATTTTATAAGTGCTAGATTGCAGGATTTTCAGGGAAAGGTGCTCGAATCTAGGTAACAAGTATTTTAGGCCCCGTTTGGATTGGTAAGAAGTATAGTTTAATTTAGATTGCAGCATGGAGCCTTTCAGGATCTCAAAAGACAGTTTAAGTAGTAGTAATTTAGATTTAAGTTTTAACATGATGTTTGGATTGATTTGAGAGAATTATATGTATGGATTTGAGATATAAGGCACAATGAGATATTTGAAATCCATGCCACCAAGGATGCTACTAGGACAACAACAATAATTGCTGTAAAATGTCTTTCATACCTCTAACCTAACCTCTCCTTAGACTTCCAATTCTAACTTTAGCAACTATTCTTGTATTTAAAGCTCAAATCAACTTATAGCAACTATACTTGTATTTAAAGCTTAAATCGCTTGATTTTAAATCCATCCAATTATCCAAATGAAGTATTAAGGTTTTTGGTGTCAAGTTTAAAGTAAAAAATTAGGGGAATGGTTCAATGTTAATTTGGGCTATTTATGGACTTTGGGGATAAAATAGGAGCTATTTGGAGACTCTAATCTGAAGAGTGAAGAACAGTACAAGAAAATGAAGAAGTAAATTTTCTGCTTGTTTCGTTTTGCGATGTAAATTGATTGATAATTAGTAATGTCTGCCTTTCTTACTTATATAAAAAAGAAAAATTATTTTTTTTTCCTCTCTTGCACTCTTCTAGGCAATCCTTGCTTGTGCATTTGCTGAGAAGGACTACGCGAAGGCAACAGCCGCTGCATCTAGAGTATTACAGGTGTGGAATCTTCTCGATTGTATTAGTAGACCCTTCTCTCATTCTTGATTGTTAGAAATCTAAATCTACCATTATCTCGACAACACAGAATATTTATGGTTTTCTAGTACATGTTGCGGAGTCCTCTCAAACTGGATGAAAGTGCTTTACTGCTTTTCTATATATTGGGAGATTTCACAAACGAACTATTCACTTGTCATTCATTTTTCATCATGCAGATTAACACTTCATTGACATATATTGTAATTAAATCAGAATTACACTTGCATACAATGGCATTGATACCCTTCTGTAGGATTTCATTTGTCATTTTAAAGTTAGAACGCCTAATTTTTTATGGGTTAATTTTGCAGATGGGATTTGTGTTGGGCCTGGGGCTTGCTGTAGTTGTTGGACTCGGGTTGCAATTTGGATCAGGGATCTTTTCAAAGGATAAAGATGTTCTTTACTTCATAAGTATAGGCGTTCCGGTACAATTCACATGCCAAAGAATTTTTTTATTTTTTAGTTTAAAATTTTTATGACTACTAACTTTATTTTTTATATCTACCATCAGTTTGTTGCTGCTACACAACCTATCAATTCAATAGCTTTTGTTTTTGATGGTGTGAACTTTGGAGCATCTGATTTTGCTTATTCTGCATTTTCCATGGTAAATTTTAACATCTTTCTCCACATTATAAAAATAAAATAAAAAAATTAATAAAAAAAAAACATGATATTTGTAATTTTATCTCCATAAACTCCCTTTAGCAATGTTTAATGCTAAAATTATTGTATCATCAGGTCACGGTCGCCATAGTTAGCATTGCATCCTTGTTGCTTCTCACTAAAAGCTATGGTTTTGTTGGAATATGGTTTGCTTTGACCATTTATATGGTTCTGCGCATGTTTGCAGGCATTTGGAGGTAATTTTCATTGTTAATATAAATAGCATGATTCTGATTTACTGGTAGTTATGTGATACACTTGCTTAAAGTTCAAAAGGGCAAAAATGGCTCCTCTCTCTTGTTGAACATTGGCACATCTATTCTCAAAACTCCTGATGAAAAACATAATTATAATCCAACCTTATGGGGGGCTACTTCCTACAAATTGGCACTCTTTACATTTCATCCACTTATCGGTCAGTCAACCGAGGCTCTGTCCTTTTGCTGATGGAGCAAGAGCCATTTAGCTACTGTTTTATTAGCTCGGACATACACTTGAGAGGAAACATATGTGGTTTTTTATTGTGTGTGTGTGTATATATATATATCTTATATTTGTTGAATCTCGAATGCTAAAACTAAAACAGTGTAGTATCCGATCTGTTTCTGCAAAATGGTATGATCTGTACTGTGCCTTGCAAACAGTTTCTGGTGAATGGGCGACATAGGGGCACTAATTTGACCAAAGTGGACTCCATGAAGAAAACATATCATGCAACTCTCAATTTTCACCCTAATGGAGTGGCTCCTGCTGTGATTAAAATTTAAGAGAATAATAGCTCACCGTGAAATTTAAAAGTTCCAGATTGAGGAATAATGACAATGTGTGCAAATTCCTATGATGTTCGACATAATGCAAGATTCTGAACATCGCCTGGAACAGGAATTCCCAGGATTTATGCTTAAAATTGACTGAAATTGGATTTTTAAAATTTTTTTTTTATTGACAATCTGCCTCACATTTGCAGGATGGGCACCGGAACTGGACCCTGGCGCTTCCTCAGGGGCCGATTATTTTCTACCCTTGTATCTGTATCATGATTCTACCTAATGAAATACACACACTCTCTCTCTCTCTCTCTCTCTCGCATTACATTGTAGCCTATGCCATCTTGTGTGGTAGCCCGTGCTGATCTTCTATGTATGAATGTTCCAAAGTACAAAATGACACGGTGGAATGACATTCAAACCTTGTCATAGGCAACTTTTGTATTAATCAACTGGCCTTTCCCATGATTTTGCTCATTCTACCATAGTTCTCTTTTGGTGGCAAATCATCCAAGGATGGACCCAGATTCTCTCTGGTGCACATTTGGCGTTCTCTCTAATACACATTTGGGTTTAACATCATCCAATGCAATTATATCAAGAATATAACACCATGCAACACCACTGATTTGAAGATGCAAAGGTACGGGTGTTGCACGAGTATTTATATCGTTATTGCACGAGTGTGACATCCTCCTCAATTTAAATTGCAATGGATGGTCACATTTTTTTCTCATGTTCTCCATGATTAAAAATAAATAAAAAATGTACCAGAATTTTTATACACCAAAGGTTAGGTAGTTATGGTGTGATAATGGGCAATGCCTTTTCTTTTTTCTAGGTGTATGTATGTATACACCACAAAAACCAGAACATCACTTAATCTTGGTGGTATGTCAAGGATAATGACTATACTTGGGACTCAAAACATTAAATTTAACCCCAAAATTAGGTAACCTAGTCCATTACCGACCATTAAAAAGCAAATGTCTTGGATTTCCAGGAAGTGGCCCCACAAATCACTATCAAAATCAAATGCCAACCACCATTGGTAAACATAAAAGGGAAGTCCCACCCACTTTTGGCTGTAAGATGAGTGGTTCGATCAAATAAGGTACACTCCACATTCAAGACATCCCCCCAACTTCCCACCCATCTTCTCTAAAAAGTTGAGCTCCAAATTTCTCTGTCAACCAGAAAACAAAAAAAAAAACGTCCCCATTCTCCTAATCCATTAACATATCCGATCTTGTATCCAAAGTTCTAAATATCCTCCCAACCAATCACCATCCACTGATGGGACCCACCACATCATCTATGTATTTGTGTGTGAGTGAGAGAACGTGTCTTAGAAAAAAAACGAACCCAGCATAAGGAAGCAGACAATCCGATTGTCTAACTAAGTAGCACCTTTTTACCAAAACAAAAAGAAATGAAATAATTTGCCCTATCTTTCTTTTCTTTAACCTATTTGTATAGGTGAAGAGTTTCTATCATTTGATATAATGGATAGGACCCACTATGTCCATCCACTGGTTACATTGTTCCAAGGACAAATAAGCCTAAACAGCATTACTGAAAAAACAATCTAACTAATTAAATATTGTGTGTGTGTAAGAGAGAGAGAGAGTGTGTGTGTGTGTGTGAAATAGAGTGCGTGTAGAAAAAGAACACAGCATAAGGAAGACAACAATCTTGAGGGGAAAAGAACTTCAATTTTACATTAATTATTGTAGGAACAAGAAGAAGAAAAAAATGAAGGTAATAAAATAATAACTTCAACTCAGTTTTACATCATTGAAGGAACAACAATACCGCCTCCCAAATCCATTTTGACGACTACTCCAATACAACCAAACATTCTCGAATGACAAACATCATCATCATACAGACAAAAACAGTTACTGAATTAGCAAAATAAAAATATATTGAAGAAACACGAGACATCAACAGATACAGAGAGCTCTCAGTTTCATTGCATGAGGTAAAAAAATTAATCCTAGAATTCTGAAAATAACTATGCCTAAACCGGATTGGTTCTTTGATAATCCAGATGTATTAAGGCTTTTGCTTCATCATATTATCCTGACTTCTGCTGTAACAAATAGCAACAAATGATTAAGATTGAATAATCGTTCTAAAAATTTTCAATCTTCCTTCTAAAACCCCCCCAACTGCGTTGCCGCCTTCTTGATTTTTAACTTCTTCACCATCCAAATGAACCCCAAAGAATATCTGTACTTCTAACTTTCATTTATGTCTTAATGAGTGAAAATTATATCAAATATTACTATGCCACGAGCTGATCGAGTTGCATCTGCTGCTCAAGCCAAGCTCCTAAAACCGAATGATGATCAATTGATTCAATTTGAGAACTGGATTTCATGCCCTCGTTAGATGACACGACACCAGAAATTGGGACCGAGTGCTTACCATTCAGTTCTGGTGGGGATTCCTTGACTATGGATTGGACCCATGATAGGTCAGGCTCCTCACCGTTGCTGTTACCAACCTCAAAAGATGATGATCTTTTCAGTCCGCCCAGTCCATCTCCGTTAACAGACCAATCTACATTGCCGTTTGAGGATCCCCAATTTGACCATGAATTTACAGGAGATCCAACCATGGGGGCTGTATTGTTGGACCCAAGATCCCGAGAACTAAGACTTCGCAGCTGCTGATGCTGCTTCTCACGCTGCTGAGCAAATGGAGAGAGCCGAGAGCTCATCGGGGAGATGGGCTCCATTCCTCTCGGTGACATTCGTCCGGGAGATGATACACCAAAAGATGCCTGCAGAAAAGGATGCTCAACATTTTTGGTAGAGAAAACTTTGGTATTGATAGGAGATAACAAGTTATGCTGCTGTTGGAACTGATTGAAAAGAGCTGATTTGTGTGATGGAGAAAAACAAGTTGCTGCCTGATCAGAATATCGGGGAGAAGAGTTCATCTCGGCTGAAAATAGCTCTTCAAGGTTTGAAGGAGTTAGTGTTTTGGACCGACAAGAACGGTTCAAAGAGGCAGAACCAGGACAAGACTGCGAAAATGGAGTCAAGTCATTTAGAAGCTGTTGATGGGATTCAAAATCCAGTAACATACTGAAATCCTCAGGTGGAATGTCCCTGGCACTAAGGGAAGATCTCAGGCGACTCGACTGAAGGTTGCTTCCTGGCAGATGAAGGGTTGGAACATTTGGCTGTGGCCAAGCTGCAGTTGAGTGTGAATTGCCATTTGCCAATGGAGACATTGGCTGATTGAATGCGGCGGCTGAGGAGGGAGAACCGGGAAGAAGGCTCAAGGCAGCAGCCATGTCCGCAGCACTAGCAGCCGAGGTTGATCGAGGAGAAAGAACAGCAGAACCAGTAGAAACATACAATGGCCTCAGCTCCTCAGCTGTGTGCGCAAAAAAGCAAACCCGTCTCGCACAGCTTGTCCCATCCTTACAGAGCCGAGTCCGGTATTGAGCTGGGTGGAGCCAGCACTCAAACACTCCATGAGCATATTCACACATATCCCCTCGCCTACAAGCACCCTTTCGAAAATCAGGGCAAGGCACACAACTGTAATGGTACTTCCGAGGATCTCTTCTCCGAGCATTTTCTCCTGGGTGAACAAAAGGGCACTCGGTCCAATCATGCGAATAAGCCCTCGAACAAGGCCGGACCTTGAATGAAAACATCCGGAACTCATCCGTTGAATATATGCTGTTCTTGATGTCAGGCAGTGATGGATCAATCGGGTATTCTTTCTTCTCCGACATAGAATTGGTAGGAACATCACTAAACTTTGAAGTCATTGGAGAAGATAGAACATCTGAAGGAGAAAATGGGGACTGGTTTTCTGGTGAAGAAGATAGTGTTGGTGAGTTGGAGTTGGAGCTGCCAATTGACACCCGTAGATTGCACTTGCCAACAGCCTCATCAGAAACATTGTTCATAAGAAGTTCTTCAAGACATGCTTTTGTGCCTGGGATCTTCGGAGGGACAACAATCACGTCAATGGGACGGTGACCATTGGCATCCACAGAATTCGGATCCGCACCGGCTGCTAAAAGCAGCTTCACAACATCAACAGAATTGACAGATCCACCAGATGCAGCACAGTGGAGGGCAGTGCTCCCGTCTAGGCCACAGGAAAGATTTACATCAACCTTGGGCTGAGCAAGCATCAACTTCAAAACATCAACACTACCATAGGCAGCAGCAACCATCAAAGGTGTTCTGTGCTCAAGGACTACTTGTTTTGAGCCCTTCTTTCGGACGTACCAAAGTCCAACCTCATCAATCGCAGAACAATCATCGCACTCTATCAATTGTTTGAAACCTTCAGAGTCATTGTTAGCTGCAAGCTCAAGTAAATTGGAAAAAGAATTTTCAGTCTCAACGGTTAATTGAGTCATGTCTTTTGTGTTGGGTTTGTTTTCTATGGTAGATGGAGATGAAGACAATGTAGATTTTGATCGCTCTGGACCCGGACACATTCTTCAGTTAGCTGCAAGACAAACATGCTTCAGTAAGATTGAAATACATAGCATAAATACAGAACACATCCTAATTCAGATTTCAGTAATCAAATTTATGGAAAATACTTCTCAAATAAAGCCATGTAAAGTACAGTGGCGTATTAAAGCAGACAATTTCATTCAAAAATTACAAAAAGACATGGCAATTCATTTGCATATTGAGGAGGTTTTCAAACATCATAAATTTGCAAAAACAAATCAATCCAATAACATTAACCATAGAAAAGTAAAAGTCCATGCCATGAAGCAACCCAAAAACAATTGAATTTGCAAAGAAAAATAAATAAATTTAAAAGCATTAACCTTATAAAAATGAAAATCCACCAGAAGTTCTAGAAGCTGGAGATTGAACCAGCCAAATATGTGTGTGTGTGTGTGTGTATATAGATATAACAGACAGTGTATATGGACCGGAAACAGTGATATATATATTATATAACAATTGAATTTGCAAAGAAAAATAAATAAATTTAAAAGCATTAACCTTATAAAAATGAAAATCCACCAGAAGTTCTAGAAGCTGGAGATTGAACCAGCCAAATATGTGTGTGTGTGTGTGTGTGTATATATAACAGACAGTGTATATGGACCGGAAACAGTGATATATATATTATATAACAATTGAATTTGCAAAGAAAAATAAATAAATTTAAAAGCATTAACCTTATAAAAATGAAAATCCACCAGAAGTTCTAGAAGCTGGAGATTGAACCAGCCGAATATGTGTGTGTGTATATATATATAACAGACAGTGTATATGGACCGGAAACAGTGATATATATATTATATAACAATTGAATTTGCAAAGAAAAATAAATAAATTTAAAAGCATTAACCTTATAAAAATGAAAATCCACCAGAAGTTCTAGAGGCTGGAGATTGAACCAGCCAAATATATGTGTGTATATATAACAGACAGTGTATATGGACCGGAAACAGTAATATATATAACAGACAGTGTATATGGACCGGAAACAGTAATATCGTCGTCATCTCTACTTACAAAAGTCAACTGCACAACTTATCAATCTAACAAATTTTTTATTTTATTTTTGTGTTTGTATATGTACCCCGTACAAGTATTTATAAAATATCCTTATCCAAAAATACATACATATATCAATATAAAAACACATATATTCATCGGCTCTGACTGATTTCTAGAAAATCAAGGAAAAACAAGAAATTTTTTCTTAATTTTTGGTAGGAGGAAATAAATTCAGAGTCTCAAAATCCAGAGTCTGAAAAAGGATGAGCTTTTCCTTTTTTGGAAAACTAAAAAAGGCAAAATTTTATTCGATACACTGATTAAAATTCTTTCATGTCCTTCTCCGCAACCAAACCGAGCGAAAGAATATACCTCAAATCTAATTACAATTTAGAAATTCCATAAAAAGATCAAATGAGAATAGCATCATATTCACATAAACAAATTCCTAATCTAATTCCTTTCTTAAACGATCTAACCCAGTCAAAATCCAATATTTAAATTAAACTTAACTTTTATATATATATATATATATATATATATATATATATATATATATATATATATCAGTAAGCATACAAACAAAATAATCTGACATAAATTCATACACATAAATAAAAGCAACAAAATCTACAGAGCAAAAGAGTAAATTGCTACAAATCCTAGAATAATCTACCACAATGCCTAAAAATAGCATCAATCAAAGCAATCACTACAAATTTAACTCGGCTAATCAGATAAATCTTCACACCTCGAAACACAGACAAGCTCAGAGCACAATTATAGAAACATCTTGTTATATATATATATATATATACACACACACAGATGTTCTCAATATAACGAATGATCGCTAAACAGTACGCAACAAACTCACCAATATCAAATATCTGAATGTAAAGTCAGCTATAAAAGGAGAGATCGCAAATCTGCTTGAGATAAAAATCAAAGCGATTTCAATTCATCGATCTGTTGAGAGATAAAATCGAAGAAAACAGTGTGAAGATCGCGACGAAAACCGGAACCAAATAGTTTCCATCTCCATTCTCCAAGTTCCTCGATAGCGATAGGCAGATGCGAAATCGATACAACCAAAGAAGAGAGAAAGTGTACTGTGTGTAGAGAAAGAGGAGAGATATAGAGAGATTGTAGAGGGGCAGAGAAAGTGTGAACTTTAGAGAGTGGAAGAGAGTAACGTCTCGAAATTGAAATTGAAATTGAAATTGAAATGAGATGGAAATGACATGAGAAAGAATTTGGAGTGAATTTAATGTGATGAAATGAAATGGTGTTGAAATTCACGCGAAATGCAGTGGAAATGAGTGTAAAAGCAGAGATTTTTGAAACTAGTGTGTTAGACGGTTTAGCCAGTCAAAGGAAGGGGGGTTTACCGGTTTGGTATGGGAAAGTCAAGCACCACATTGACCGGCTAAAGTGGTTGTAGGTAAGTCTGGTCTGGGACGTGGATTATAAATTGGATTGTAAGAACATACTCACGTCCGCCAATCAGAGGAGATGACGGTAGGCGCAGAGTCAAACTATGAGAAAAGGCGTGGCGAAGAAACGACAAAAATAAAATAAGAATTTCTTTTTTCAAATATAAACTGAAATGTATTATTAGTAGTTTTATACATAACTCAACTAATTCATTAATACGGAGTAATTAGTTGACTAGATTTAAAAAAAACAAAAACCAATTCATTAAAAAAACTAATTCATTAATAATTGACTAGATTTATGAAATCATATTATTATTCCTAACTCATCCAAATCATAAATAATTGAATCTAAGCATTGCTGGTATTTTTAGCCACACTATAATATTTTATAAATGCACTCCATTTATTACCCTTTTTTTTAAGATCAAGTTACAAAAGTGTCCTTAATGTTTTTTTAATTTTATTTTATAAAGTTAGGGACAATAGTGTCATATCTTTTAAAAGTGTAGTCATTGTTATTTTTATGAGTGTTTATGGAATTCTCATTTTTCATTCTTTTTCTTCATAAGTTGTTTCTTATTGCTTCATCCATTGTTAATTTTAGTTATATCATTATCTTTTGACATTTTTATGTGAACTAATGTTTTTTTTTCTTTCTAATTAATATATCTACATGTTTTCTTTTAATATGTCCATGCCACGATCTCTCTTATTAAAGTAAAAGTATGAATATCACCTCCTTTTATTTGACTTGGATAATGTTAAAAGAAAAAGGTAATTTCGAAATAATAAATGAAATAAATTAAACTTCAATTTATACTTTGTTTATTTTTAATTTAACTAAAATAAAGATATTGAGATAGATGATAAGAATGATTATAACATATATCCACTTTGGATATGGTTCAGCGGTTTATTCGCTGGATTTTGGAGTTTAGCAATTTCAAAGTCAGTGTTTGAGTCTCGCTAGGTGTTCTTTGTGGCTAGTCTCCGCTGCCCCTGCAGTGACTTACCTCGTCCGAGTGAGAAGGTGCCCTTTTGGATCCTCGAAAATTAGTCGGGTTCTTGAGGGACCCTAAAGGTTCGTGTCATTCTGGACACCTAGGTTAAAAATAAAAAATAAAAAATAAAAAGAAGAAGAAGAAGAAGAAGATTAGAACATATCCCTAGTGGGTTAGTACATTCAGTGGACTCTGAAGTATCAGATTTCGACACTCTGTATCTATTAATTTATCTTCTAACACTTCTTGCCTTATAAAATTCGACAGAATTAAAATATCAACCCGATTAAATATACTATTAGACCGACCTATTTTTCAAATTCTTAACCTTCTAAATTTAGATGGAATATCTTTTACTTTTATACTCACAGTCTCTTAAATTATACAAGTATATAAAAAGTAATAATAATAATAATAATTGGATGGTTTTTTATCATTTAATTAGCATAAATACTTATTCTAACACTTTTAAATTATTATTTATTTTAACTGAATCAAACCAAAAATAATTTTGCAAATAACTTGATGTTTTGACATAATTGATTGGAGAACTCCATCACATGAGAAGTTCTTTTATTAGGGGGTAGTGATATATTGATGGAATTGAAATCAATAAAGTTACAGAGCATCTGAATCTTGTATCACTTTCACTATTTAATCTATCATTTATAGATTTTCTATTACAGAGAGTTTAACACACACCGTAAGATTATGAAATTTACATTAAATATAGCCTTACCTAACATGAAGAAGATGATACCTGTGAAGTTTGCTCAGTAGAGGTTGTCTAGGTGGCATCTTCTCAAATAAGGTAAGTGACCTAATGCTTTACACAAAATGAATAGGAAAAAGATTAGGGGTCATGCGGGGGATCAAGTGGGTGCATTGTATTTATTTGGAACATAATTATCACGCAAAGTAATGAGAGGATTCCCAACCGGTGGTGCTATCAAGTAAGTAAGGATATTGCATTTTCATAGTTTCTTCGCTTTCTCAAGTCGCTTCTTCAACTGTGTGACTCTTCCACAATATCTTTACTAGTGGTATAGTTTTATTCCGTAATGAAAACATAGCAAATGGGAAAATTGAAACAAATCGACCGGTTGTTTCTCATTTTGTAGAATTTCTTTTCTACTTGTTGTTCGAAGTATGAAAATGTTCTCTTCTCTGATTCCCCGAGGACAATTGATAAATTCGTGTCAGATATTGAGACAGTTTGTTTTGTAACAAAATCTGAAAATTTGAAACAAGTAGCTTGCGCGACCATTTAAAATATTTTTAATATTGAATTTTATGTTAAACTATTTTATTTTCCTTTTTATTTCTGAAAGCAAACTTCAATATTTGATTACTTCTTCAATAGTTGGAGTTTTTGGGTGCCGTTTACGGCAAAACGGAGAGCACTGCGAGAAGAGAGGACACATGTCATCATCCTATTAATCCAAGAAATATATAAATAGAGGCATGGAGGAAGAAGGAAGGGGTCCAGAAATTCAGAGACTCAGAAATCCAGAAGAACCTAGTGTCCAAAAGTGGTTATATTAATTATTCAAATAATACGTTACGCGTTATATAAATATAACATTCCTTACCTCAATTTGAGATGAAAATCTCGCCTTCGCCATGTCTCCGGCAATTTATATTGGCTTATTTAGGCTGCTGGTGTATTCGGTAGCATTGTTCTTCGTCTTCTCTCATCATTCTTAATACTTCTTCCCCAGACCCCACAATAATGGGAGTCTCGTGCACTTGGTATGCCTTTTTAGGTAGATACTTCGTTGTTAAGCTACTATTTAGGCATCTGAAAGAGTAAAAGCAATAAATTTTTCTTGAGATTTTTTTAGTTCAACATTAAGAAATTCAATTATAGATTCCAAAGAATCTTTCAAAAAGTTAACTATACTTATCTTGCATCGGGAATGGTTTCCAAGACTCTTTCCTTTGAATTAACAACTTCCTTTGAGGATCGAGTCATTTCCACATTTTCATTTTTTTTGACACTATTCACTTTTCGTCCTTTTTTTGGTTGTCACTTTGGCCCAGAATAACCGTTTAGGTCTTGGCTTTATCCAAGATTTGATGTCCAAGTCTTCCACTACTTGATTTCACATTCAACTTGCCTTGGGTGGTTTGGAGATTTGAGATTCTTTTAAAGTATTCTTGTTCACATGCAAGTGTTAGCATTTTTAAGTTTTACCTTATTTTTTCAATTTTTGAATTTTTGTAAGGTATGTGTTCTTCGACTATATATTATGAACAAAATTATATTACAATTTATTTTTAAAATAATTTTTTTAAATATAAGGTAACCAAAATATTCCGAAGCTACAACCTTTTAGATTATCATGCTATCCTGGGAATTCCTCTTTCGAAAACCAACCTACCATATCAACCTTAGAAAATGCCCTATAACAGATGATGCATGGGTCAATATCTACCACAATCACCATATCTCTACACAATGTTTCGTAGAAAGACTCATACTGGCATTCTGAATCATCACCCTAATTTATCATTAGAACGAGATATTCATTTTTAATGTAATACTATAAATATTCTAAGATGCTCAATCGTCAAAAGTAAAAATAAAAAATGTTTAAAAAAAATACTTACATTTTTTAAATTGAGTAAATAATGTCATTTTCTCAATTTGAAGACTAAATTACCTAAAATATTAAGTGTATTTTTCAAATTTTATTAAATTTATTTTTGAATTTTTATAAATAAAAAAAAAAATTAGTCAAAGTTGACAACTAGCAATTTGCTGCAAAATTTCAAATTATATAAATACACATACTAAATAGAATGGTGAGGGTTCAAGTCCTTTGTGATCAAATGGGTGTAAAATTTGAATTTATGGGTTAGAATGGGCTTGTGTGTAATGCGCTTTATTTTAGGCGTTTTGTTTTTAGCTAAAACAGAAACAATATTTTTGCTGTAGGAGTGTTTTGGAAAAAAAATTGGAAGCACGTTTGAGAACGATGTTTTGCTGTGAAAATGTAGGAAACAGAAACATGCACAATTATGGTTTTATGTCATGAATAGTTATCAAAATAAGAAAAAACATCTTTTTGGTATTTTGGTTTTGGGCCACTATTCACGAAGTGTTTTAGCACTGTGTAAAATAAAACAAAACCGCACCAAACATGCTTTTGTTGCTAAAATTAACACTGTAACAGCAAAAAAAAAAAAAAAAAAAAAAACAGCAAAAACAAGACGCATGTTGCTTAACCTTGAGTTATTTAATTGGCTGACTGTAATGTTTGTGAGATAAATAAATAAATATATATATATATATATATATATATATATATATTAAAGTTGTAAAGTTATTCCTTTTTCTCAAAAGTTGGTGGGCCTCACCAACATATTAACACACAAAAGGCCATAAGGCCATTTCATGAGTCAACTATTTCCTTTCTCTCTCTCTGCTGCATCATTTCCCCTCTCGGCATCTCACTTTGTTTTTTTCTTTTTGCAATCTCAAAAGTTTGATCTAGCTTTAATCTTTTGGATTTTGGTAGAACATTGTGAAGCAAAGTTGTTGAGCTCGTCGAGGCCGTCAATTTGATAGGAGCCAGTCATCATTTGGTGCACTCTAGGGAGTTCAAAATTCTAGGGTTCTTGGGCTCGAATTGGGGGTTTTCATCAATTTGAGGTAAGGGTGTTCTAATCTACAATTTCTTGGCCTTTGGTGAATTTTTCCCCTTAAATTTGATTCTAAGCATGCTAAATTTTAATTACTTAGCTTGTTATTGTTGTAGTTCTTTGTAATTATAACGATAATTGTGCTCCTTGTGTTATTTGAGTTCATATAAATGAGCATGCTTAGTGTTTAATGTGTTGTATGTTTCCATGATTATTTATTTATTTATTGTCTTGAAGAAAAATGGATGCTATGGTTATAAATAAATAAAGGAAAGGAATGTTTAGAAATTTTCATTAAATTGTGATGATAATGTAAATGGAAATGTGTGAAAATATGTAGTTAAATTAATGATTTGAAGTATGAAGTATTCATGCATTCATTGGGAAAGAGAAAGGGGGAAAAATAATTGTTAGAACAAATAAAAATTGTTTTGGGGAAAATATTTTCTAAAAGTGTTGTGAAAACTGGACGCCTAGGAGGCGCCTAGTGGTCCGTGATGTTGGTGTAGTCTAGAAGGGAATGTAGTTGAGTTAACTAGGCCGGATGCGACGCCTTGGAGATGCCTAGTGGTCGTGGATAGTTAACCAACCTTCCTTTCGTGACGCCATGGAGATGCCTTGGGTCGGACTACACTAACGGTTTGGTTGTTGAAACGGAATTGTTTCGGAAATGGGGAGTGACATTTGCATAACATTGCACTTCATGACATCGTGGTAAATTTGTGATGGGTTGATATTTGTTATATACTTGTAATTGTGGTTGAGAATGGGTGTTTTCCGATGGCATGATCCCGTTCACTTTTTATCTATTCATTGTATGGATTCACGGGGACATAAGAAGTGTGTCTTAGACACTTCCTACTGAGCTTATGCTCACCCCCTTATTTTTAACATTTTTTCAGGATATAGAAAAGATGTGGCGGACGACGGTCCACCACAGGTTTAGATGAGCTTGAAGACTCATTCTATTTTGTTATCTTTTGTATTAGCCTATAATATTTTGTAAATGTAATATTAATTACCTTGTGACACTTTAGTTTAATTAGTATAATGTTGTAAGTTATGGACTTTTAATTCTAATTATATTTTATGGACTGTAATTTGATGTAACTTAAGTGGGTTCCATGTTTGGATGAGATGGAGGAATGGGACTTTTGAATGTATGTAACTATTTTGGGAATGCAGTATAATTTTTGAATTGTGCGTTGGGACATGATAAGTTAGATTTAAGGCCAAGTGAGGCCATTGCATTTATTTTTGTATTTCTACAGGTTGTTGATGGGTGTTTTCTGCGGAAGTCATGCCGAAATTTTTATAAATTTTATTATTATTTTGGTATCCTTTTGGGTCGTTACAAGTTTGGTATCAGAGCCATGGTTCGAATACCATTAGGACGACGGGTAGAGGCCTACCTAGGATTGCATGGGGAGTTGAGTTATTTGCTTACTTGTTTAATTGCTTACGTGATTGCATGCTTATATGTTTATGTGTTAAGGTGTTTAATTATTTGAAAGGCATGCTTAATTGTTTAAATGCTTATATCATTACGTGTTAAGTGGTTAATGTTGTTGTATATTATTATGATTATGTTTATCCTTAGTTGGGTATTTTGGAAGTATGGAAAGTGTTTATGTGTTTCCATTCTTGTCAAATCATTCGTGTGAGGACTCCATTCTCGTGCGTATTTTAGTGTCATCGTAATTGATCCGTTTCCTTTTCTTATAGCTTCATGGCAACACGAAGGGATCCCGGGGAAAGTTCTAGCTTCAATCCCGTGGAAAGGGATCAGGAGCAAGTTGAGGAAGATATCTTATTGCGTGATTTGGTCCCACCAAGAGAGGGACAAGCGAGGGGGACCGTTGACCCACCTTTTCAAATAAATAGGGAGCAGTTGAGGTTAGCCGTTCAGGAGGCTATTTTTTATGCATATCGACCGACAGGTGCGTTATCGTCACAGTTTGTGCCACCACCGGCACCACCACCACCACCACCAAAGAAAAATGAGTTAGATGATACTCTTTACCACATTGCAAAGTTTGTGAAATTGATGCCAACTCTGTTTGAGGGCGGTCCAGATCCGCTTGTTGCGGATAGTTTCATGGATAGGGTGGAGAAGCATATTAATGCCATGAATTTGGCAACGGACAAGTTGAAGATTACATTGGCTACTTACAATTTTGTGGGCGATGCTGAGATTTGGTGGAAGACCGTTTCTCACACCCATAATCTGGATACTATGACATATGCTACATTTAAGAAGTTGTATTATGAGAAGTACTTTCCAGCGCCTAAGCGGAGAGAACTAAAGAAGGAGTTTGATGGGTTAAAGCAAGGAAGTATGACAGTTACAGAGTATGAAAACAAGTTTACATCACTTTTGAGGTTTGCACCGGGAATTGCTAATGATGGAGAAGGAAAGATTGAGAAATTTGTTGATGGCCTTAATCTTACCATTAGGCCAATTGTAGCTGCTTCAAAACCAACAGAGTATGCAAAAGCAGTGCGAAAAGCTTTAGTGGTTGAGGCTGAGAGTAAGGACAACAAGGCTATCAGGGAGTCCTACAAGCACAACAGGGGTATGAGTACTTTCTCCGAAGGTCAATCAAGTAAGAAGCAGAAGCATGAGCAGTCAGGGTTCAGAGGACAGCAGCCAGTCAGATCTGCACCCACAGCTTCAGTGTCCATGGGGTCTTCTAGACCGAACGTTACTTGTTTTAGATGCGGGCAGTTGGGACATTACAAGTCCCAATGCACTCAGACACAGGTAGCTCAGATGATTTGTTTCAAGTGTGGGCAGCCAGGGCATCACAAGTCCCAGTGTACTTAGATTCAGGTGGCGTCTGGTGGATGTTTCGGGTGTGGCCAGCAGGGCCATAGGGTGAAAGATTGTCCACAGCGGGGCAGTGGTTTGGGCAAAGGTGGAGGTTCACAGCAGAGGCAAATGCAGTCTGCCACAGTTCAGTCAGGGTTTCGACCACCACCACTACCTCAGCCGTCTCAGCCAACTATGTCAGCCCAGAGTTCTCGACCTGGTAGGGAAGCTTCTTCGAGTGCACCTACTCAACAGTCTGGCTATCAGGCAGGCAGTTCTCAGGGGCAGAGGACCCAGGGTCGCGTGTTTTCACTCACTCCAGCCGAGTCACCATCCAGTCCTTCAGTTGTCAGGGGTATGTTTCTTGTGTCCCATTCTTGGGCTCGTGTATTGTTTGATTCCGGTGCTTCTTATTCATTCATTGCTTCATCATTTGCACGGGTATTGGGTTTAGAGGTCAGTCAGTTAGACAGACCGCTTTGTGTTGACACGCCTATCGGGGGTTCAGTTGCTTTTAGTAGAGTTTGTAGGAATTGTTCCATCACAATTGCCGGACGTGTTCTTGAGTTCGATCTCACCCTTTTCGAGATGACGGGATTTGATGTCATTCTTGGGATGGACTGGTTGTCATCCTTCAGAGCTGTCATTAATTGTTTCAGGGGCAGAGTTTCAGTGTGTACCCCGGATGGGGATTGTTTCTGTTTTGTGGGAGATCGGTGTGATCCTCTCACTCATTCATTTTATGGTGTCAGGGGTCGAGATCGGTAGACATTCTTCTTGGCTAGTCTTATCGCCGATGATGACGTTAAGTTTTATGGGGTTGATTATCCAGCAGTTGTGCGTGATTTTCTGGATGTGTTTCTGGAGGACTTGACTGAGTTGCTTCCACACCGAGAGGTGGAATTTGCTATCGATTTGATGCCTGGTACCGCGCCAATCTCTATGGCACCGTATCGTATGGCACCGATTGAATTAGAAGAATTGAAGAAGCAACTTGATGATTTGAGGATGAAAGGCTTTATCCGACCGAGTGTGTCACCGTGGGGTGCACCGGTCTTGTTCGCTAAGAAGAAAGATGGTTCTTTGAGGTTGTGCATTAATTACCGAAAGTTGAATCATGCCACCATCAAGTACAAGTATCATTTACCAATGATAGATGATTTATTTGATCAGTTGAGGGGAGCCAGTTGTTTTTCGAAGATTGACTTGAGGTCAGGCTATTATCAGTTACGGGTTAGAAAGGAGGATATTCCAAAGACCGCGTTCCGTACGCGGTATGGACATTACGAGTTTCTTGTTATGCCTTTTGGTTTAACCAATGCGCCGACGGCATTCATGGATTTAATGAACCGTGTCTTCCACGATTACTTGGATCAGTTTGTGGTAGTTTTTGTGGATGATATTCTTGTGTATTCACGGACTCGGGAAGAGCACGAGGTCCATTTGGGTATAGTGTTGCAGATTCTATGGAAGCACCGTTTGTACGCCAAGTATGAAAAGTGTGAGTTTTGGCTACAAGAGGTGAAATTTTTGGGACATGTTGTCTCGGAAGGTGGGGTTTCAGTTGATCCTTCAAAAATAGAGGCAGTTTTGAGTTGGGAGCAACCCAAGAATGTCTTTGAGATCCGGAGTTTCCTTGGCCTAGCGGGTTATTATCGGAGATTTGTGAAGGATTTTTCCCGCTTAGCAGCTCCTATGACCAGATTGACCAGGAAAGGGATCAAGTTTGCATGGAATGAGGCCTGTGAGTCATCCTTTCAAGAGTTGAAAACAAGGTTGACTACGGCTCCGGTGTTGGTGATACCTGAGCGTGGCTTGGGTTATGTGATCTATTGTGATGCCTCACGTGATGGTTTGGGTTATGTACTGATGCAAGATGATAGAGTAGTGGCTTATGGGTCTCGACAGTTGAAGACTCACGAGCTTAACTACCCTACTCATGACTTAGAGTTAGCGGCAGTTGTATTTGCTTTGAAGTGTTGGAGACACTATTTGTATGGTGAGAGATTTGAGGTGTTCTCGGACCACAAGAGTCTCAAGTACCTTTTCTCCTAAAAGGACTTGAATAACAGATAGAGGCGATGGGTTGAATTATTAGAAGACTATAACTTTGATTTGCAGTATCATCCTGGCAAGGCAAATGTGGTAGCTGATGCTTTAAGCCGGAAATCTCGTGGGACTTTGGCTAGTTTAGCCATTCGGAAATGGAAGATGCTGGATAATTTGGCTGAAATGGGATTGTATTGTTTTGATGATGATGATAATGGCAGTGAGTCAGCATTCTTGTTTAGTCTCGTGGCTCAACCCACTCTTGTTAGATGGGTGATTGAGTCACAAAGACAGGATTCAGATTTGGATGCCATTTACACTTTGATCTCCAGTGGTGAGATCGTGAAGGATTGGACCTTACATGCAGATGGAGGTCTACGGTTTAGGGGTTTGTTGGTTGTTCCTACAGTTTGTCGTGAGGATGTCTTACGGGAGTTTCATACTTCCCGCTTTACAGTTCATCCGGGTGGTACTAAAATGTATCACAATTTGAGACGTTAGTATTGGTGGAATGGAATGAAGAATGATGTTACACAGTTTGTAGCTAAGTGCCTTACTTGTCAACAGGTGAAGGTCGAGCACCAGAGACCAGCTGGTTTATTGCAGTCGTTGTCGGTAGCGCAGTGGAAATGGGAAGAGATTGCAATGGATTTTGTGACAGGTCTTCCTAGGTCACGGAGGGGAAATGAAGCCGTATGGGTTATTATCAATAGATTGACCAAGACGGCTCACTTCTTGCCTATTAAGGCAACAGATGACGCAGAGACACTCGGTGTACTTTATGTGAAGGAGATTGTGAGATTGCACGGAGTTCCAGTGGCTATTGTGTCGGATAGGGATGCTAAGTTCACCTCGAAGTTCTGGGAAGGACTTCAAGCAGCGTTTGGCTCAGCGTTGCACCTTAGTACTGCATTTCATCCACAGACGGACGGCCAGTCGGAGCGTACCATCCAGATCTTTGAGGATATGCTTCGAGCTTGTGTACTTGACTTGGGTGGTAGTTGGGAGGATTACCTTCCACTTATTGAATTTGCCTACAACAATAGTTATCAGACGAGTATTCAGATGGCTCCATTTGAGGCGTTGTATGGTAGACCTTGTAGGTCTCCTGTCTGTTGGACCGAGGTGGGCGAGACAACTGCCTTAGGACCCGACATTGTACTCGAGACTACCGAGAAGATTAAGCTGATCAGACAGAGATTGCTTACAGCTCAGAGCCGACAGAAGAGTTATGCAGATAGGCGGAGACGACCGCTATCCTTTGAGGTGGGAGACCATGTTTTTCTTCGGGTTTCTCCAAGGAAGGGGTTGATGAGGTTCGGGAAGAGTGGCAAGTTGTCGCCACGATTTATTGGACCTTTTGAGATCTTGGACCGCGTAGGAGAGGTTGCCTACAGACTAGCATTGCCACCACAGATGGACAAGGTTCATAATGTCTTTCATGTGTCGATGCTACGGGAGTACGAGCCAGATCCGTCTCATATTTTGAGTTGGGTTGATGTGGACATTGATGAGGATGTTTCCTACGAAGAGGGACCAGTTCAGATTCTTGACACACAGCAGAAGGTGTTGAGGAAAAAGACGATATCGTTGGTAAAGGTTCTTTGGAAGCATCATGGAGTTGAGGAGGCTACTTGGGAGCTCGAACAGGAGATTCGCTCCAAGTATCCAGAGTTGTTTTCTCCCTAAGGTATGGCCTAATTTCGGGGACGAAATCTTTTAAAGTTGGGGAGAATATAATGTTTGTGAGATAAATATATATATATATATATTAAAGTTGTAAAGTTATTCCTTTTTCTCAAAAGTTGGTGGGCCCCACCAACATATTAACACACAAAAGGTCATAAGGCCATTTCATGAGTCAACTATTTCCTTTCTCTCTCTCTGCTGCATCCTTTCCCCTCTCGGCATCTCATTTTGTTTTTTTCTTTTTGCAATCTCAAAAGTTTGATCTAGCTTTAATCTTTTGGATTTTGGTAGAACATTGTGAAGCAAAGTTGTTGAGCTCGTCGAGGCCGTCAATTTAATAGGAGCCAATCATCATTTGGTGCACTCTAGGGAGTTCAAAATTCTAGGGTTCTTGGGCTCAAATTGGGGGTTTTCATCAATTTGAGGTAGGGGTGTTCTAATCTACAATTTCTTGGCCTTTGGTGAATTTTTCCCCTTAAATTTGATTCTAAGTATGCTAAATTTTAATTACTTAGCTTGTTATTGTTGTAGTTCTTTGTAATTATAACGATAATTGTGCTCCTTGTGTTATTTGAGTTCATATAAATGAGCATGCTTAGTGTTTAATGTGTTGTATGTTTCCATGATTATTTATTTATTTATTGTCTTGAAGAAAAATGGATGCTATGGTTATAAATAAATAAAGGAAAGGAATGTTTAGAAATTTTCATTAAATTGTGATGATAATGTAAATGGAAATGTGTGAAAATATGTAGTTAAATTAATGATTTGAAGCATGAAGTATTCATGCATCCATTGGGAAAGAGAAAGGGGGAAAAATAATTGTTAGAACAAATAAAAATTGTTTTGGAGAAAATATTTTCTAAAAGTGTTGTGAAAACCGGACGCCTAGGAGGCGCCTAGTGGTCCTTGATGTTGGTGTAGTCTAGAAGGGAATGTAGTTGAGTTAACTAGGCCAGGAGCGACGCCTTGGAGGTGCCTTGTGGTCGTGGATAGTTAACCAACCTTCCTTTCGTGACGCCATGGAGGTGCCTTGAGTCGGACTACACTAACGGTTTGGTTGTTGAAACGGAATTGTTTCGGAAATAGGGAGTGACATTTGCATAACATTGCACTTCATGACATCGTGGTAAATTTGTGATGGGTTGATATTTGTTATATACTTGTAATTGTAGTTGAGAATGGGTGTTTTCCGATGGCATGATCCTGTTCACTTTTTATCTATTCATTGTATGGATTCACGGGGACATAAGAAGTGTATCTTAGACACTTCCTATTGAGCTTATGCTCACCCCCTTATTTTTAACATTTTTTCAGGATATGGAAAAGAGGTGGCGGACGACGGTCCACCACAGGTTTAGATGAGCTTGAAGACCCATTCTATTTTGTTATCTTTTGTATTAGCTTCTAATATTTTGTAAATGTAATATTAACTACCTTGTGACACTTTAGTTTAATTAGTATAATGTTGTAAGCTATGGACTTTTAATTCTAGCTACATTTTATGGACTGTAATTTGATGTAACTTAAGTGGGTTTCATGTTTGGATGAGATGGAGGAACGGGACTTTTGAATGTATGTAACTATTTTGGGAATGTAGTATAATATTTGAATTGTGCGTTGGGACAGGATAAGTTAGATTTAAGGCTCAGTGAGGCCATTGCATTTATTTTTGTATTTCTACAGGTTGTTGAGGGGCGTTTTCTGCGGAAGTCATGCCGAAATTTTTATACATTTTATTATTATTTTAGTATCTTTTCGAGTCGTTGCACTGACGCTCAATGAATCACAAATGCTGATGTTTGGTATTCAGTATAACCAATTAACACTTGATTCAAATTCTATAATCCAAGTTAGGATAAGTGATAATGCTAAATTAGTTGAAATAATAAAAAAAACACTCTCAATGGTTTGAAGTTTTTATTTTTTATTTTATATTTCTTCATATGGAAAGGTTATTAATCTAAGTCTTAAGCAGGCATTTTAACTTTAGATGGAGAGACATCAATGTGCTGTCTCTATAGAATTTA